ATATAAATTTTTATTATACTTTCACTATACCAAAATCGCGATAGATTCCTTGAAAATTTTCTATTTTTTTTTTTGCAATCTGTTATTGACGTTAGTCCGTCATTGACGGAGTAGTGTACTCACTGACGTCCTGACGAATGAGGAAGCCTTGGCCACGGGTAAACATTTTATCCGTCATTCGTCGATGCTACCTTACAAAATTACAGGGCTTTATGTAAATAACAAAGCAAAAGAATACAGGATTAAGTTTCGGTTCTAGTAACGGGCTTGACGAAACCATCAACTTACTGACGGACATCAGTGCCGCTCTGATGCATTCCTTTAGTTTGGCGAAATGGCTGAAGTATACTGACTGAATCAATCAATTTTTTTCGTTTTCTTTTGTAATTATTGGTGTTTCGTATTCTGTAAGGTGGCATCGACGAATGACGGATAACGCCATTGTTATTGACATCCAGAGCCAAATTTAATGGACCCAATGGTAATTAAGTTTAGTTGAATGAACTGTCAAGTGGTGAATTTAAGCTCACAGCCGAAAAATTGCGATTCATTCATGGCAGTAGTCAGACAGTAAGTTCTGTTTTTTGAATATGCGACAATCATCATTAGTTTACAAAATTTCTAATTCTAATGGACATGGACTATCTTACTATTTCTCGAGTGCTGGAAAGGGCGTTATGACTGTATTATGATCACATTATGCTCTTGTTGTATGTAGTCTCACTCCATTGGGCTACTCAAGCTTGACGGAATTTCGTTATTTCATCTTTTGGTATGACTATGCGCTCAAAGGATAGGATCGTCCGATGAATTGGTCGTCTAAGTTGAAATGATTTCTTTAATATGATATCTAAGCCTTTTAGTCTCACTTTAGTCTCAGAATTTTTTAGCTAAGCCAATCAGTTATAGTTTTCACAGCTCTACTTCGAAATTTGAGCCAAAATTATCTGCGTTTGAATGTTAAAATGACAACTCGTCAATTAAAGATACTCTGTTATATATAGAAAAGATATATATATTATAGAAATAGTGAGTTGAATTCCTTGTTTGGAGTAATTAATGAAATTATGTGATTTTTGTACATTTCTAGTACTTATGAAGACCATTTACAAATATTCAAGTCTAAAAAGAACCCGAACCTGTATCAAGAACCCTGAGTCTTTATTTTCTTGGCTTCTTTTTCACTTTGTTATTTTAATTTTCTTTTTTCTTTTCATTCATAATACGATATGTTTCCACCAGATAAACCTTGGTCTGAATGATTCTCTGTTTTGAAACACTAAAAGAACTTTTAATTAACAAACATATATTCATTTTAGATCTTTCAAACTAATCTCGCATTGTATAGTCATAACAGCTTTTCATATAATGTTTCGACTATACTTAACAAATAAATTAACCATAAGAACATTCTTTTATAGGATTGAATGAATACTTAAACTTATTAGTAAATATTCAACGAAATTGTTAATACATTTGCCTCTTGTAGGATATTAAAAAGTTCCAATCAATATTAAATACTTGAACTCAAACCAGTCACAGGGTGGTATCACCTTTCAAATTAGTTTTTACAGTACCAAGATAATCTCTTGTAATTTCCAATTGTAATAGAAATCTGAAATAACCTTAGTTAGTTAGTATTAATTACTGTTGTACATAGTTACAGTTATCTCAAGTAGTGTAAACCATTTGAACACACGTGGAAAGTGTTGCATAAGAACAATAAAAGTAAGTAGTTTTGGGGATCACCATCTTCTCAATGTCAAACTATAACGAACTGCGTCTTATACCTTGACTTCATTATCCACTATCCTTGTATCGCGGAATGTAGCGATTTGTTTGGATTGTACGCCAGCGACAATAAGACAATAAAAATCTGAAAAAGGCGGATGATCAAGTTGCCCTTATGTATTATTTTTCTCAGCACTTGACCATTTTATGGTTTGAACTTTATTAGTTTTGGGTCTGCAGATTGGTGATGCACACCTCATTTTATTGCGTGGTCCGATGATCCTTAAAGTGATCTGGTATTGGTCTGGTCAAGGGCAGGTGATCCATCGGATTTTTGTTCTAATTTATGATAAAAATCAACAGTTTCTTACTTTAATAATTGCGAGAAAGGCAAAAACGCGGATCCAGTGGTTCGAACGGTATTTTGATTCTGGTCTGGTATCTATACATTGCTACTGAGGATAAAGATTTATGAAACGGGGCAACATTTCAGCATCTGTTAGAAAACGCTTGAATTTATTTCAATCAATAATAATTCAAAAACAACTAAAGTAAAAAACAAATTATAAAACGTTTAGTTAATAAACTACTGCGATGATAGTGCAAATTTTACATATAATACTTCATAAGAGTGTTCTGTAAAAGATGATGTTTTTTTTTAGAATAAAAGATGACTTCTGAAAAAGAATTACTTGTTATTGTAATAAGCAGAAACATTTGACAATAAGAAGTCTTTTTCATGAAAAAGAGTTTGTTTTATAATCTAAATGGAAATGTATTTATACAAAACACAATACTACTTTCGATAAAATAGTAATTAGTTTTGAATATGATGCTTGCAACAATGTAGCTTTTAACTGTTTTTATTATCATAAATGGTACTGTATTCGTCTATGACAATTACTACAGTGGAAATAAACAAACAGATCGATCTTCAACTGATGGACAATAAAAATGTAGGAATGTCCAACTCTTTATAAATAATCTGTATACATAAACACAATACACGATTTTCTTACGAGTCCTAACTCATAGTTAACCGCAAACATCCGTAAATAATTCGCTGGTACCCGTAAATAACTCATACCGTAGACAGCCGAAAGGATTCGTGAAAGGAGAGACTAAAATATCCTTTAACGATTGTACACGATTACAATTTCTTCGTAAATAAATCTGTATACCTAAACACAATACACGATTTTCTTACGAGTCCTAACTCATAGTTAACCGCAAACATCCGTAAATAATTCGCTGGTACCCGTAAATAACTCATACCGTAGACACCCGAAAGGATTCGTGAAAGGAGAGACTAAAATATCCTTTAACGATTGTACACGATTACAATTTCTTCGTAAACTGTTCATATACGATTACAATTCATATACCACTCGCAACATCATCCGTATATTTCTTGTTGTAAAGTTATAGTACTTTTGGAATAGATGCTTATAGTTTTTTTTTAGTAAATGGTAAACTAAATGTAATAGATCATAAAATCCTGCGAGCAATAATTTACGGGTGGTTACGTGTTGTCGCGAGTTGTCTATAAAAGGTTTGCGATACTTACGGAAAATAATTTTCGTGGACAATCCATGGAAGATTTTTTACATGTCAAAAAGTTTGCCTCTCCCTGCACGGACCCTTTATAGTTTCTGCAACTTGTCGTGAGATCTTATGAGTTATTCATGTACACCAGCTAGTTATTTACGGATGCATGCGGTTAACTTCGTAAGGACTGTGTGTGTCGTATAATTATGTGAAGGGGTATTACGGATATCAGAGATTTAATTACGGACATCAGAAGTCATGTACGGATTCTTGCGGTTAACTACGATCCATAATGACGTTAGGAAAATCGTGTATGTGAAGGATGTATAAAGTTTAGCACACAGTAGATGTATGAAACTCATCTGATGGTTCGAAATTAACTTAAATATCTTTGGGAGAATCTTTGGTATGTAAGTTCGTGACATTGGTATCAATTTGGATTAGCAGTTTCTTGTAAACCAAACTCGGTCCCAAGAATTATATGCACGTGCACTTAAAAGGTGTATTCGAAACCACTTATGTTATTGGTGAACAAGTGCTGTTCCGATTCGAACGAAATTTAGTTGATAGCATAAAATATCATTCAATAAAGACTATTGATATTGCAACATTGGCGCTGGATATTTAGCTAACATTTTGAATTGAAGTTCATAGAAAGCAGGTAATGGAACTTGGCGCAGGAAATACCAACACTTGGGTTGACCACATGCTCGAAACACCCCGCCCAGTACGTTTATGATTGCAATTTTTGTCTTTTTGATTCGTAGAACATGTCGAATGCACCATGCTCATTTGTTTACATTGATCCTTTCTGGTCGGTAGCTCTGGTGTATACAGAAATGGGCAGCATGAAGAAAATTTGGTTTGATTTTATGATTTTTTATTTGCCAATCACCCAGTTTATTAAAATCTTCATTTAAAATCAGGCACTGTTGCAGTTTCGACCCCGTTCCCTTCCGACCGTGCCAGGTGCCTAAATACACATAAGGAGTACTGTACAGAAATATAAAGTTACCCAGAATGTATTATTGTACGACACATTGAAAAATAAATTCTGTAATTTTTGGCATGTGAAAAGAAAAATCCTGGGATTTGGAAGTACACGTATCTACAAGATACAGTACTTGGTAGACCAGAAAAAGACAATCTCTACGACTTGTACCACTGATAGTAATCTGATTATTTTGTTTCAGTTGTGTGTTGGCACAGATCTTCTCACTGTCTTATTTTCAGTATAAGATAGCAGCAGTTCCAATTCCAAGCGGTTACATTTTAGATGGTGAGTATGCATGCCAATTCACCATAATTATTCTTTGTTATTTCTTATATTTCACTAAGAAGCAGTAAGACCCTGATGCAAACAATGGGAAAGACTGTAGTGGAATAAGATTTTTAAAACATATTGCATCTAAGTTTATCAATATCAATAAGTAGGTCATCAAGATTAAACTTAAAATAGAAAGAATAGAATACATGTACTAATCATTTTAAGGTTAAGGGTTTCATGAATAATGTCTCTGATTCTGCCAAAGTTAAGACCACTAAACTACTTTTATCAAACTAATATTTATTTATGGCATCTTCGCATTATGAAATACTCATAAAGTTGTTGATTTTATGTTTTAGTAACTCACGAGTGTGGTGTATCAGAGACAGATAATCCAGTAATAACAATCATATCAGATCTTTATATTGAGGCGAAGGCTAAGTGCGCTAATGGGGACTTTAAGTTCACTAAAATATCAGAAGCAAAGTACGTTTTGACTGGTACTAACTTCGTTACAGGAGATGGATGTGTGTTTTTCGTAAGTATACCACTGTTAGGAATTAAAAGCAATATTTACAAGTAGGTCTTTACCACATTTCAATGGTTAATATCTCTTGTTGTCTATACTAAAAGAAACACAGGTATGGATTTTTGAGCATTCATTGCTAATTTGGAAAGATGAAATGTAAGAATAACAAAATCTCACGAAGGAACCCTATGTACTTTACAGAATAGACATGGTGACCATCAAGTGGAAGTGTCTGTTGGTTGGAGTGGACCAGGAGTGGATATTGTGACGGATGAAAAGAAATATACCATATCTTGCACATTTGCTAATCATGGTGGTATCGACATGGAAGATTCTCAGACTGAAGACGGGTAAATATCATACAGACCTAGATGTTTGACCACTTAAGCGCGGTCAGGGCAGGTCAAATAAGGGTACTAAAAATAGACATTATTTTCGGATAACTACGGGAAACTAATACCACAGTTATTACCACAAACTCATATGTTGTAAATGACTATTGCCAGGTGGAATGTTTGCGCTATACAATAAAATCTGCTTTATGTATTTATTTCCAAGCGCAATATTTTGATGGATTGATTTTGGTTCACCAATAATAAAGTGCAAAAGTCCCGTATTTACCACTTCTTGCACTTTCTCTACTAATTTCTGCTGCTAGTTTTTATCATGGAAAAGAATTCGGTTTCGGACGTATTTGCACTCATTTTCAGCCAAGATTTGGTGCCTAATTAACAAATTTGTGAGGCTGGTTTAAATGTTCCGATTTAGACGAAGTTGTCGAATGTTACTTATGCCTAATGTCCATCTTTAGATGAAATCTATTATTTATATTTTATCAGAATGGTCCGACCGAAGGAGTTGCTGATAAACGTAGGTACTGAAGTACCATCAACCTACATCTCTCTTGAACTAAGGGATGTTAAAGATAAACCAATAACTGGTTCAATTCCAATGGATAAACATGTCACTTTAGTAGCAACAACTAGTGGCATCTGTAAGTGATAAAAAAAATACATTTTCTGTAAAAGTTAGGCAAGACATTGACAATAATGAATTTTCAGTAACATCCATAGTGATTAATCAGTCTATAATGTATTTACATTATTTTGTTTTCATCAATAAGTTAATGTACAGCATCTTTTATTAATAGCATAATGGGTTGACTCTAATAGACACTTTGAAAACTTGAAGGAACTTACTCTTCTGTTATTTGAAATGACTATTTTAGTTTCTAATTGTGTTCTATTGCATGCCTATGTAGTGTCCTACTGCTTTTGCACTACCAAACAAAACAGTATAAAAAATTCGAATCTGATACTTTTACACAATGTGACATTATATTTTAAAAACTTCACATTTATTAGATATGGATGTACTATGTAAACTGTTTGTGCGAAAGCAAATGGAAGGGATTGTAAAGAGGTTTATGTTAAATTTGTATGTGCAAAGAGACACTAATAGCATCAATTTGCACCCTTCCAATTTTCAATCAGACGTCTGCAATTCCCCGAAAACAGAGTGCTTGATGACGTGAGTAATCGCGAAGGTCCTCCTGTGATAAACCATATTTTGCGATTAGTGACGAAATTGTGGGAATCACGGACGTCTGATTGAATGGTGCAAATTGATATGTTTCTGATACATATGAAAAATTTATAAAACCTCTTTACAATCCCTTTAATTGGTTCGAACTGCCTAGAACCGAATAATTTTCGCAGTGGGAAAGGGTAATTACATTATTTTCAGATCAAAACTACCAGATTAGACCTGTATGTTGTTTTGCTATTGGTGCTACGAATAATGTACACTATGGTATCTTGAGATCTGGCTGTGGTGATGGAGTGATATTTAAGAAAGATGAAGGATTTATTACTGATGCCACATCAGCGAGAAGTCCATACTTCACTTCTTTCTATGTAGAAAAGGATGAATCTGTTACCTACCAATGTTCGTTTATTATCTGTGAAGAATGTAGTGGAGTAGGTTAAGTTTATAGATGTTAGTATGTATATAGTGGAGCAAAATATTAAAAAATATCCAGGTTCACTACGAACTAGACATGTAAGTCGTCGTGATAACTGTGACCTACTTGACTGAAATTCCATCGGCTAATTTTAGGCTGATATAAAGGGAGGCAAACCTTTTGTTTTGGGTATTAGTTTTCTAAAAGATGAATCACTAAAATATTGATTCTCACGACACCCAGCAGAAGTTTCACACGCAAAAGACGACTTCTGTCCAGCACTAAACTGCTCATCCACCCCTGCGGTTAGTGGAGAAAATCATGACGGTTTCTTCCAAAGGTCAAAAGTCACTGACGGCAGCGGCTTACAGGTCTACTGCAAATACTACCGAGTTTTTTTAAGTTAAAGTTAGTAGTTATTAACACAGAATACTTTTGGCTTGTATGGTTTCAATAATTCTACATTCTACCCATGAATAAAGTCGACTGTTAAGATTTATGATTTGAATGGGATCTGGATGTGTATAAATATCTTTGCTGGACTATATATACTACTTTTAGTAAAACTTTTATTCACTCATTCTATTCCATCTGAGCTGTTATAATGCTTTTGTCTTAAGGGGACATGTGCGCCATTTTAGGAGGTTGATTTAAAACTAAAATCGCATAATTTCTTTTAAATTACTTGAAACTAGGAATGTTACTTACTATTTCACAGAGTATATAGAACACCATTAATGATTAGCTTAGCTAAATAAATTCCAGTTTCTGAGACTAAGGTACGATTGTAAAAAAATAAACAAGGGCATATGGATTGCTTTTTTCCTCTTTGTCTAAAACGATTAGCTTTTGTCCTCTTTCGGATTGAAACGATTAGCTTTTGTCCTCTTTCGTCTGAAACTATTAGCTTTTGTCTGAATGGTTTCACTTTTGATTCAAATAGTTAGTTTTCGTCTGAAATGATTAGCTTTTGACTTAAATGGTTAGCTTTTGACCTAAATGGTTAGCTTTTGACCTAAATGGTTAGCGTTTGACCTAAATGGTTAGCTTTTGACTTAAATTGCTAGTTTTTTACCATGGTTAGCTTTTGACTTAAATTGTTAGCTTTTGACTTACATGGTTAGCTTTTGTCAGTGGTTAGCTTTTGACTTTAATGGTTAAATTTTTCTAGTTAGATGTCCAAGTATTGAATGACGCATGTTGTTCCAGATATAAAATGGTTTACGTCTATACCCATGCTTTGGCTATCTTTTACTTTAAATTTATCTTTTACGTAAACATTTCAGAGTTCGTGTGCAAAGGGAGATCATAGTGTGATCACATTACGGTAGGTTTTTTTTATATTTTTTATTGAACTTCTGTTTAAATAAAAGAACTACATTTCATCGGAATATGTTCTTATTGATATTAGACAATTTTAACACAAGATATTCGTTTCCAAATATGCATCTAATCTATACTTCGTGGCAAATAACAAATATTTTCAACGTATTCTTTTTATTTGCAGCTGAAGAACTATTTTCCATTACATGTAATAAACAAGTTGTTAAATTATGTTTTTGTCTTTCTTGGCGTATACATCCACATCTCTCTATAGGGCCGTTTATAATAGTTATACGTCAATCCTTCATCTCGTTGATTAAAATATAAGATTAATATATAATATTAACGATTACTTTCAGAGTTATGACCCTTTATCTATTTATTAGCAGTGAAATTTTGTCATATTGCATTTAATTCAACTCATTTTCACTTTAAATTCAAAAGGGAGGTCAAAGTTGCAATGAGTGTTTTTTCGATGTAATGTGTTTTAAAAATCTGATATGTTAAAGATCTCAGCAAATTTTCATGAATAGTTTTTGTTTTACGAAACACAAGCTGGAAGTTGGTGTATTTGTACGTAATCCATAAGCACACTTATGTGGAACCACGTTTCAGGGCTGACATACTGCGCAGTACATCCGGTATTATACGTAGATATTTGGGGAAAAATTCAAACACGAACATTGTCTATTTATGTTTAAGCAATTGACAGAGACACGTGATTCATGACACATATTCGACCACTAAAGAAATGGCTTATGTATTGAAAATTGGAACGTCTCTTGGTGTGCAGACATTTTATAATATATAAAAGTTTTTCAAGAATAAAAAATAAACAATTTATTGAAGCATATTGATTAAAAACAAAATACAAAAACTGAAATACTGGTATATACTAATATAAAAAATACTAAACACCAAAAATACACAGGAATAAAACTTCGATGTCAAACACATGCTATTGGAAATACTATGATCCATATAAAATGTTACTTTGGTGAAAATTCCTTTTTTTTTTTTATTCCTAATTCTAGTTTTCAATTTCGGTAAAAATTTCTTTACTGCCAGTAATTATGACATAAATTTATATGAATTAATGTAAGTTGAGATCTATATTAAAAAAAAGCTCTAGAGTTTAAACTCTTCTGAGAACTTCTTCTCGTGGAGACTTGATTACAGGACTAATAGGTCGATTCAACATGTTCACTGTTCTTATCAATTTGTCTAATTTTGAATCCATAGCACTGATTTGTTTCTTCAAGTCTTCACAACATTGACAATCTGTTAAAGATAAAGAATACATTGTTAAATAATAATTGTAATGATCTAATGTAATTTGATCCATAAACATACATTGAGTGTAATATATTAGCGTGGTGGAAGTGCACTGGACAGAGGACTCCCCATGGAGTCGCTTTACCATGGATTCCGCATGACGCAAGATTGCTTTTTAATAATATTACTCCTCTTTTGTCATAATCGGTTTGGGGAATTCTCCATTGGATGCGGTCTTTCATTTTCAACCTTTTGGAGACCTTGCGGACGAGGAACTCCATAGTTGAGCCGAATGTGAACCTGGTTAAATTCATTCATATTGTTTGATTTCTCCGATATTTTACTATGAGTAAATAATGCATTTCTTACCAGTTTTGGGGAGTTCTTTTCTACAGTAGACATCTTTGTGTTGACCACTCCATCCTGAGGTCCAGATCCATTCAGCTTTACCGTTTAATTGAGAAGGCCTAGTTCCCCAGTTAAAATTAGGTACGGTAGGAACACTCCATGCAGAATCATCAAAACTGAAAAAATAAGAATGAATGATATATATGATAAATGCTATGAACATAGTTTTCTTGGAAACGTCGAGTTCTTCCAGAGAGCGTCTTTTTCATGAAAAATATAGTTTTTTTTGTAACAATGAGATATTAATCCCATCACACTTAAACTTAAAAGATCTGTGGGATTTTGAATGTTTGCAAAGCCTTAAGCTCTTTTGGTCTCTACCCAGGACACAATCTAAAACGACTTCGCCAAACAATTTCATTATAATAAATCAAGTTAAAAAGCCTACTCACCCTGGTTTGTTCCAGTTAGGGACATATTTGGTGGTACATTTCCAACTTTTGTCTGTTTTGATACCATTACTAAGAGCAACCTTAATTCCCCCAACCACATGTAAATCTTTACAGTAAACAGCAACAACTTCAGTGTTGTCGGGGATAGTAACGGCTGAAGCAACCGTCCAATCATTATTTGATGCTTTCAAAACCCCATCAGCATAAAACTTCATATTGTTATCACAGGTAGCAAAGCCTGTTATAGCTGATTGGGCTGAAAAAGTGAAAAATAGCGTTAAAATAGGTACATTTCACATTGGATTAAAAAACTGATATTTTCTCCAACAATGTGATTATAAACAACTATAACATTTTAGTCAACCAGTAATTTTATCAACATTTTTGAGAAACTAACCGTCTGTGGATATAATACTGTGTGTCGTGTCCCAAAATGTTCGGATTAATAGAACAGAGGCCTGCATGTTCAGAATTTGTAAGTAACACAGGTATTTGTAATTTTTTTTTTTTATAAATTGGCTGAAATTTTCATGGACATAAAAAAGAACCATTATACTGTGTGTACCTTTTAAAATGATATTTTTATTTAAAAGTATTTGGAAACCAAAATGACAGTGACTTTTCATTTTCTTGCAAAAAGCACATCTTACCTCCGATGGCCAGCACGGCAAATAAAGCTAGTGATAAAAACACGTTCATTTTTATTCTAGTATGTATGATGAATATCTAAAATATATTAAAATTATGTTTTTTTCATTTTTATGATGAAATAAAATCATGTTTTCTAATCTCTACTAGACTTTTGAAGAAATAAGTAGGACAAAAAGATTGCGATGTATCAAAAGCATGTATGAAAATATTCAATAAAATGAACTAGAAAGCTAATACAGCACAATCTTGCAAAAAATATAACTTTAAAATTGCTAAAATAAAATTCTACTTACAATATCTCTCAAAGATAATTCTGTTCTTTTAAAATTGATATGAGGAATTGGTTAAATCCCCCCATATTTATACCCAAAATTCTGTTGATTTTTATCATTCGGGTATGTGACGTTTTATTGTCGTAAGTTTTGATTGGTCAATAAATATTCAATGGTAAATCCTGTTATTTTGATTTTTTCGATAAGGTCTGTTGTTGAAAATATTGCCGGTGCACATGAACTCTGTTTCTGTGATAGTATTAATGGAGATCTATATCCAGTCTTCTGTGTATTATAACAGTATTTTCCATTCCATAGACGATAAAAAAAATTGCCATAAAAAGTTCCCCCATTTATATTTGGCCAAAAACAGAAATTCTTACGAAAACGACAAATAATTGAATTGTATAATATGTGAGCAACATTTCTTTCCGCCTGACGAAAATAGGTGACATCGCAATTAAATGTTTGTCTTCATTAACCTTTCTAATGAAAATACATTCTTTCAATACGTATACATTAAAAAAAATCGGTGTGGTTTATTTTTCTTTGTATATTTTTCATATCAAAACGTTAACCAGTAAAAATTTCTTTATGTAATAAAATGTTCTGTCGGTAATGACATTGGCGTAACAATCACTAATATTGTCAGTCAGCAGACCCAATGCTATGCAAAAGAAGCAGTTTTTAGAGACCTACTTCCTTTATCATGTGTCGTGATTTTATGACATTGATTACTGTAGAAGAAAATCTAAGTTGGTTAGATTATTATTGTTTGCTATGTCAACAAGAGATGGTCTCTTCTCTTGCAAAAGTTAAGCGATCTTGAAAAAATCTTTTCAAGTAGTGAATCTAGCTACAGAATTGATACAGAAAGACCAATGGCGAAACGTTATACAAGGACACCCCGCCCCCCTCCTCAAAATTAACTTTTCGGATAGCGACCAACAAAATATTGGGCACCAACCAACAGTCCTTCGGTCCGTACGCCAATGATCAAAACCCGTAAAAATCGTAAGTCACAGGTGACCAGGTGTACGCAACAGATTTTCTCTCCAACGGTTTTTTCTATTAGGTGATGAATTACAAACTATTTTCGTCACAAAGGTAGGTGGGTCTTACGATCTTCAACGTTACAGTCGAGTAATCACGGATGTTTATGTGTTTGAACGTAAAATTGGATGTCATAATTCACTTTCATCTTCATTCGGTACATTTTTTTTGTTAATCCGAAAGATTGCGACTAGATATAAAAAGTCAAAATTTATTTTAATTAAAACAGTATAATCATATATTTAAGAGCTCAGACAGAACAAAAAACATACTTTATGAACGCCTTCGTTATTCTATTCCTGTTTCTGTCCTACATATTGAAAAGATGTGATCAATATTCCTACTAGTATTCTAGTTGTGATATTTTTATTCGTATTTGTCACTTTCATCCAATCTATAATCCAAGCACAATGGGTTCTGTTTTCAAAGAAATTCAAAACAGGCTTTCTAACCAGTGAATTTTCGTCACGGTTCCCATCCTACAACTGTGCTTTTAAATGGGCCTCTAGTCGTTATGTCCTCATTCCTAGTTTAGTTTCAGGGAGCCGCGGTGGCTCAGTGAGTTAGACGCTTGCTCGCTAACCTGAAGGTCCAGGGTTTAATCCCGGCATAAGTCGAGATAATACCTTCGGATTTTTCAACCCGGTTTCCCCCTGTCAGTGATGCAGGTACGAGGGGCTGACATGGAAAAGGCGTCTAGTCGTTCGGATGGGACAATAAACCGAGGCCCCGTGTGCTACAGGCTGTGCACGTTAAAGATCCCTCGACAGTTGGAAATCGAAAAAGAGCAGGCTAATGCCGCTGTCCTGGCAAAATTTCCCTCATTGCACCCTACATGGCGTTGCCCGTCTTCATTAGCCCACATGGTGCAGAAATGTAGGACGTAAAACTCCATTCATTTCATTTCATTTTCTAGTTTAGTTTCAGTTTTTCGGTTGTACTAACATTGTTCTAAGGGTTAGTCACTTAAAATTGTGCAATGTGCCAAAAACCATGAACATGGAAATAAGAATTAGGTGGTTCCTGTAATTTCACAAAACTATTACCAGATTCTATCTCTAGCACATTTGGATACATCAGTATGTAACAAAAATCAATTTAATGAGTAATTACATAAGTATATAACAGCAATTTCAAAAAGAAAACTGAGAAAAAACAAAAAGTTCTTATCTCGGGCTAACTTATTGAGTTTAAAATCAGAAACATTGATTCAAGGTCGTGCATATCCTTAAATTCTTCCGGCTGCTATTTTCATTGGAGCAGACGAACCCACGCAACAATACGCCTTCAGAGTTGTACCCATATTGAACCCGGATCAGATTCTTATTGTTTTGGGTAGCAAAACGATTTAATAAACACAGCATTCTTATAAAGAGAAATTTGCTTATTTGTAGCAACAACATTCTGTATTTTATCGTCGTGATGAATATTCACTAGAGAAACATTGGATCACTCGAGTTATGTCCCCGAACATGATAAGAGTTAATACACTGGCTAAGACTATAATACCAAAAGAGCCAATTGCTTTTGAAGACGGTCTGTCATCTTCAGCGGACGTTTTTGCACGGCGAGCAGCGGATGTTTTTGTCCTCAAAATCCGAAGTTTTTGTCGAGTTTTCTGTACTTCGTCGTCTATATTTTCCATCAAAACTACTTCACAAGTACATGCACAATATAGTTGGGCTGAAAAAAAAAGTAAAAATGAGGAAAAGCGAACAAAAAAACAACCCAACAGTCTCAAAAACTGATTAGAATAAATCCAATTGACGTCATCTGTCATCATATCTAGGTAGGGTTAATTTGATTTAAGATAGTTACTTTGCTATTATGTTTAAATACAAACGAATAAAAAATGTTTTTCGTGAAGCTTTCTGAGGGCTTTAAAGGGACAGAGACGTTTTTGCCTCTGGGGCCAAACGAAGCCATCAGTTTTGTCGCTTGTTATTCAAAAATCAAAAAGAAACGCGAAACGATTTGGTACATTACTGTCTAATTTTAAATTTGAAATTCATTGAGATAAAAAGTTGGAAAAACTCATTCAAATGCAAAAACACAAACAATCAAAATATTGCGGTGATATCGCGCGCGAAGCAGACAGAGCTTATTCTTTTCGGAACTCCTGGTGGTACTTCTCGTTTTAGGAGTGCCTACACTGATATTCTTATTTCTCCTTTTTCCTTATTCTGAACATAAATCACATTAACCATATATTGCCCCATATTTTTACCATATTATTTACCATATATTAACCATATATTTACCATATATTACCCATATATTTACCATATATTAACCAATGTGTTTACCATATTAACCATATAATTACTTCGAAGGGCTAACGTTTGATGCGTTCCGTATCAATAAAGGATTTCAGGTATGACTGAACGAAAGATGACACTGAAGTATAACTGAACGATATATGGTATTCAGGTACGATTGAACGAAAGATAACTTACACGTGATGATTAAATTAATTATTACTTAATCTCACAATGAGGATTATTAAACACCAATCACGCGACATCATAAATACCGCTAATCCGGTTAGAAGAACTCACAGTGACAACGCGACCGGATGATGAATACTAATTACTATAGAATTTGATAATTGATTCCCATTCACAGCCGTGCGGAACCGGAAACCAGAGCACCAGATTATCGGCAACCGGTTAAACGCAGCTCCACTGTATTAACAATATCTTATCCCATATATTAACCATATTATCCATGCTATACTAGTGGATTTACTTACTCGATCCGTTATATGAAGCTGTCATCTCTGACTGTCCGACTGTTGAGTTTGATGCGGTTGACAAGTCAGTCAAATTCAATACTGCCGTAGAATCTTGGTTTACTGGTACAGTTGATTCTAAAGTTGAAAATGATGTTTCCTCCGATGTCTTACTGCTCATCACTCCTTTTGTTCCGCTCAAAACGGCAGTCATGGCAGTACTTGGTGATGTGTTGGCATCTTGAAATGGTGTTGATGTCAAGGCAGTACTTTGTGATGTGTTGGCATCTTGAAGTGATGTTGATAACAAGATGACACTTGGTGATGTGTTGGCATCTTCTAATGATGTTGGTAACAAGATGAAACTTAATGATGTGGTGGCATCTTGAAATGGTGATGATGTCATGGCAGCACTTGAGTATGTAGTAGCATCTTTAAATAGTATTGATGTTAAATCAGCTGTAGTCCAGTCACTTTGTAAATGAACTGAATCACTGACTGGATCTGGTGTTGTCGTTCCACTTTCTTGTAAAGGAAGATAATCTGTACAGTTTTTAAGTGGCGTTCCAGAAGAATCTCTCTGGATAACAGTAGTTTCTTCTCTCTTTATTGCTCCTAAAACACGAATAAACATTTTTTTTTTAAATTGAAATTACTCGCGTTTAAATTAGATTAAGTAACTTGGAACAAATTTACCTTCAAAGCATATCTTTTGATACATCCCCGTCAACTGGTCTCTGGTTTTACTAGACTGAACACCGGTAAGAAAGTTGGTGATATTGCTCGTAGAAAATGTTTTACATCCCCATTCCAGCGAGTATTCAACAGCAAAGCATTGCTTTGTCTTATCAACATCTTCCAGACATATTTCTAAGCATTCACTTCGGCTATCAGCATTTTGCATTACACCTTCTTCTGGTCCTATAATCTGTCCATCTCCTATATACTCCATGGAACATCGACCTAAAGTTACAAATGATTGAGAAGGTAGTTCCTTATGGAGGAATTGTGATATCATTACTACAATATTAGATGCATACTCGAGTTTGGCTTATATTATATTTAGCGATATTATGTCGTATTCGGTGCTGGTGGTTTGCATTTTATACCTCGATACTTCTCGTGATTACCGCAATTACTTTAGAAATAGAGAAAAATTGTAGACACTGTCATAATTTTTACGATCTTCATTTTCTAAGTTGACCATATGCAAAACCATTCAACAAAAGTTGATAAAAAGCCTGGAATCTAAATATGAAATATATCATTGCCTCTAACATAGGATGTTTATTCGTAATGTATATTAAATATCAGACCAACTGCCAGCAAATGTATTAAAATAAAATCTTCACCACGAATAGTTTTTGGAATGGAGAAGTGTTATAATCATTCGATTCAAACGCAAAGCATTGAACATTAGATACAAATAAGAATATTCTCGTTTTAAATTTCACTGAAATAATTAGTTTGACAAGGAATGTATATTTTGAGCAATGTGTTCAGGCTAACGGAAACCGAAAGTGCAACTTCTTCTACAAAATACGTGTACCAATTTTGAAATATATCCTATCCTTTTTGAATATTTAAATGGTAATGATTTAAAATATTACCGTTAGGTTTCTGGCAGATGAATTTATAAACACGCGAACAAACCATAGTTCTGAACTGAGAGGTCCATAAGCGTACACATAGGTCAGTGGCTTCATCGTTTGGTTCGGACAAGGCCCAGTTTGGAAATTGTAGAAGATCTCCTGTTGTCCATACATACTTTGCTTTCCCAGTATTATAAAGACCAATCCATACATCGTTTATTCTAAATGATATATAGTGAAGCTAAAGATGTGGTTATTCATAAAATTCATCGTATTAATCAAAATATTTGATTGGAATTCAAAATACAACTCTGTTCCAATACGTGATATTATTCACTTTTAATAAAGGCGTGTTAAGCAATTCAACTAAGTGAATTGATACGTAAATGACTTAACCTGCCACAAACTGGTTTGTATTTTTAAAGTTAATAAGGAATTATAAAACAATCCTGTCCTGCAATTGCATTCGATTTCTTCTTTATCATCGGTCTTGTTCTCGATTTTTTTTTTTTTTTGGTCAACAACTACAAAATGTACTGTTCACCGGCAAACATGAAAATGTGGGAAAACTCCCTAGTTACAAACTTGGAAACAACCGCTCTCATACCGTGACATACCGTGTTTGGTGCTACTTTGTCACAACTCACAAGTATGAATTTTAATTGTCGAATATCGATCTGCGCTCTAAACCGATTTATTAAGAAATAAAGTAACGATTATAAAGCCTTTGTTGAAGAGAAGGTACCCGATAAAAAACACGGATGAGCTAGCCATCTTGGACCATTCAAAAGAATTTAAAAATGCCAAATCAGCACTTGGTTGTAAAATATTATCATAGTTACGTCATTCATGTCAAGAGAAGGCGGAATTAGAATGCCTATTCATTATTTATGAAGCAATTCAATGACCAACGTTGGAATTTGAGTCGCGAGCAAGTACTTATTATGTATTTTTCTCCTTCCCTGCCAATCATCCAATTAATGGGATACCGATAGTATAAAAAATACTCAAAATCAAAATACTCACCTAACTTCTGACAAGGGTGGTTGGTTCGAAATGTACTCGTAAACCACTTTTGCTTCTGGATCATTCATGACCAATATTGTCATACCAAGTTGTTCACAAATACATCTTGCTTCATTCCAGGAATATTCTTTATTAATCAATGTAAACAACGTATTTTCACTTGGTAGACCAAAGATAATATTCGCTTGCAAATTGAAAAATAATTTAAGGAGTCGGGTGAAATTATCATTTATTTATCAGGCGTGGTCTAATACTATTTTAAAGCACGAATCCCACAAATCGCCAAATTTAGTAAATTTCAGGATTCGCGAGGATTCGTGGAATTTTAGCACAAATTCTGGTTCTAGTAACGATACAGGCACGACAGGTACCCCCATTTCACCAAAGACTGTTCTGGTCCCGAAAGTACCCGATATATTTTTTGTCAATCGGCCTCATATTTGCAAAAAAGGCGGATTAACCTATAGGCAAACTAGGCAGCTGTCTTTCGGTCCATGGAAAATTCGGTCCATGAAAAATTTTGTAAAAGTAAAAATTATCATACAGTTAATAAATTTCCACAGGCTCATCGAAAATTTGGCCCAGTCGATGAGAAATATTTTCACATAAAACATACAAAACTTCCTTATTTATATTATTATAAAGGTCTCGCAACCTTAGTACCTGCAGGGATGAACATTTCTCATATTTAAATTTGTCTACTCTTACTCTTTAAGGATTAGTCCCGAAACAGGGAGCCGAATGATATTTTGACACACTTCCGCACGGAGGTCGGCTACCTTCGGGGGTGATCGGACACTAACGGCCACATGCGGGCCACAGGCGAGACGATAGTCTGAGGATCTGGCGGGAGTCGGGTGCTTATATTCTGCAAAAATACGCACGACCCTCCCTCCAGATTGCTAGAGGTTAAACCAAAATTGTGGGCGAGACAATGTGAACTTCGGGCGACTAAAAAAGACCACCGGCCGACGGTACCTTTTTTCAAAATGTTTAAAAAAAGACGCAGATTCCTTTTTCGATACCCGACCCTCGGAGGACGGAGCCGTTCCCTCAAAACCTTCCCCCGAAAGTTTAAGATAGTGCTCGAAAGTGCTAGCAGGTTCCCGACTTTTTCTGTGCAAAATTGCGGTCGATCGATCAAAAAATGGTCAGTACTGTCGGGGCCAAAACATTCATTGGGAAAGGAAATTAGAACTTCCTAAAGCGTTCCGAAGATATTTTACTTTCGGTTTCCTGTAGCTCCCTACGTCAAACTATGGCTACATTTGGCAAGCTCTCTGTCCAACAACGTAGTAACGTCGTTCATTTGCGGTAAGAGGCGGGTCTCAATCGGGCCTGTGCTGTGTACCTACGCAAAATTGACCACTCTAGGAACGTGTGTGATTCGTCCCTCCGCACTAATCCAGTGGTCGGGAATGGTGTCAAAAAAGGGTACGATACAAAAGATTTCTAATATTAAGACAATTGCCACGACTGGTCTTAAAATCTGACCTACACTCTGATAGGATCACCACGATTAGACCACAATTTCAATCGAATCAAGATAGTTGGAACATGAACAAATTTTTTAAAAAAAGGTCACCACGAAACTGACTTAATGGGAGGGGAGGGGCCAACTGTTGAGGTTGAGATTCCACTCCCATGAAGTGTCTTGACAGGTTTCTCCCCCACGAAGATTTTGAATAAAAGACTTGATTTGTGGCATTTTAACAAGTATATTGGTGCAAAAACGTATAAAATCTATATTTCTAAATTTGTAAAACAAGTGGGGGTATAATTGGGTGTGCAAACCATTTTTCTGGGGGGTAAATGTCCCCTTGTACCCCCACTGATCGTGGCGTTGGAAACGGATCGCACGACGGTGGGAATCTTGCATAAAAGCAAGACAACAGTATAATGTGAGCACACACATAAAATTTCAACTACCAAGTACAAAAATAGTCCAATTTTTTATACCTACCTACTTTGATCAATAGCAAAGAAAATTTCAAACAAATGAGTTTCATTCTGTTGCTAGAAAAGATAAAAAAGAAATTGTTTGTTTCGGTATAGTTTGGTGTGCAATCCCTTCTACAATTTCGAAGCACACATCTGCTTCAGACACAGAGATTGCTCCAAAGTATTTAATCCCAGTCCAAATGCCGTGTGGCATATATCTCATACATTTATAGTTAAAACAGTCAAAAATGGTGTTAACCATTTTGGCAATATGATCCAATGTCGACCACAATGAAATGTCTGAAAAAAATCCCTAAAAAATGGAATTACATTGTTTTCCGTCGATAAAATGGTGATTTGTTTTGTCAGTTTTGCCTCATAGAGAAATTCTCTCAGCGAAAATGAAAATATTGCATGTAAACGTTCGCGAGCAACAATCGTTGTGACATTCTACAGCATTTTATATTGTGAATTCATTTGAATTGAAACTTCTACATGCGACGATTCACACAAAGTTAAACTTAAATTCTTCAAAGTCTGGCAACTATATAAGTATCTCTTTAGGAATGCTTGTATATGTAACAGTACATATTTTATTAATTCAACATCACAAATAGTTTAATGATGTCATGTATAGTGTAAAAAAATCCTACTGTTAACTTTCTAACGCTCAAATTATTTAGTTTTACGAAAACTGTTAAGTTCGTTATGCTGTTTGCTAGGTGTTAATACGGATTTATGCAAAATGAACGTCAAATTGTAATATCTTACATATTCTATAGGTCTCAACTAAAAATATTGAGTCTGTATCTTCTTTTAACACCAAAACATAAATATTAGCAATCAATATACTCCATTTTAAAATAAACCTTTTAAAAAAAATTCAGTTTGATCAATTAGATACATAGATGTTAATAGCATATTCTAGAAATATTTTATAAATTTTGTTTTCTTCCCCCTTTTATAGCCAAATCTGACAACTGCAATCCTTTTATGTTTTAACAATATAACAAAAAGATCTCACCTTATAACTTATCAACCATCGTCATAAACACGAACTAGACATAGTAGATGTCTGCCATAATATACCAATCCCACAATATCAATAATTGAATTAGAACTGGGATAAAAGCAGAAGGAACATATCACGGAGACAATAAAAATCATTGACTCATTCATGCAAATGATGTAAATATGATCACGACACTTGATATGCGATTCCATATAAGTTTCTCTTTTACTCTTTTTTATCATAAAGAGGATCTATAATGTCATCATCTTCTATATGATTGTCACTCCGTTCTTCCGCAACAGAAAGTACAGTTTTGTTCTGATATTGACGAAAATACATCTTTTCTTTGTTGGTGAACAATCAGATGAGTTTGATTTCATGAGGCCTTGAATGGGTCAAAAAGTCAAAACTATAGTTTTTACCGGTAAGAGTTCAATTCATGCGAGTTCTCAATGAATGGCTTTTGAGTTATTGCTCTTGACATTATGTGTAAATATGTCAATATGGGCCTGTTGATGTAATAAAGAATACATTGTAGGCCGCGTTTGTTCGATTTTGTTTTTTGAGAGGAAAAAAATTTGATTGGCTGGCGGTGTCACCAAATGAACGAATGGACAAAAGTTCAAAAGGCCCGTCTAGATTACAAAAAAGCAAATGAAAACGACAGGAAAGTTTGGTCTAAACCGGCTCATGAACTATACAGGGAATAAACTAGTCTTGTCGGATGGCTTTGAAAGTTAGTATGCGGGTGTATAATTGGATAGTATCTCGAATGCGTGTGATCTACACGATTGTTTTGATTGCTCTCCTGACCTAAGCCCAAACACGACGATCAAATGGGCTGGTGAGAGCAATTTGGTTTGAATATCGATTTTGGTTGGATATACATTGAAATTGACATGGTTACATTCAGTGATAAGAGCTCGAAGGTGTTTTTTTATTTTCGTGCTGGTTTCATTATTTAAACTTGATTTCATTCATTTTGACTTCGGATTTGATTAAAACCTGCTATGCATATAGAAAATTTATGTTGATGATGTTTTAATGCAACTGTTTTGTCTTTTGGAATCTGTGGCTAAATGTAAGGTTAAATGAATTTATAGATGGGGTTTCAAAAGATTAAAACTACAAAAAATTTCCATGAGGGATTTGAATATATGTAATATTCTTATTCATGTCATAAAAAATCAATATTCTAGATAAAATGTAAAAAGTCCACATCAATAGAGAATAAATAAGCCAAGGTGAACAAAATCATTCGATTCATTGGCTTTGTTAACAATCCATATAATTTGAAATACCAGAATATCTCTTGGGTTTATGGGAAAAGCTTTCTAGTGAGGGCCAAAGACCATTCTTTCACAATGTAAAACGATAAGGAAGCGAATCATTCATTGGGCTACCCAGCATTATCTTGATAAATACCATACATATGTATGGCACTTTTCATAACAGTATATTATTCGCTTCAGTGACCTTGTAATCAGGTCATTAAATTAAAATATCAGGAGTTTATAGAATATGCAAGAAAATGAATTGGTAATAGAGTTTGCATTGAGAATATAATATCAGAATTACTATAGAGTACCTTCATGTATAATCCTTAAAAGTCCTGTCACGCCATGACAATCTGTCAGTGTAAAGCGGCGTATCAAAATGTATCTAAAAAGATGAAGCGCGCTGGCATATGTCGGATAACGAAGTCGTGGAGTTATTTCGTGCACAAAATTTTCCACGTATAACTGCGTCTGTTGACGAATTCAGATATATTTGTGTGTTTCAGACGACCACTTAATAAAAACGTGCTAAAACTGTTAAAATGAATATCGTATGCCCATGCGCCATTATTCGTTAAATATAAAATAAATATTAATTAAGTTCTATTTATGGTCAGAAAACGTCAAATACGTTAAAGGGTCATTCCGCTTTTTTTGCAGGTCTAAATTTTTTTTTGCTCAAATTTGTGAAAACTCTACACCAAAATCTATATAGAAATGTGTCCCAAAACGAATCTGAAAGTTTAAACTAAAAAATTCAGCCGTTAATTTATTAACGCCAAAACTTTACGTAAAAGGTTACGTAACCTTTTAATTTTTGTTATGCTTTTTGCAAGCTGCTAGAAAACTTCTGTACGGATTTGAGTAAAATAAACGCCTAATTGTAGAGAAATAGTTCAACTAAATATAACGAGCCATAACAATATAACAATTAGTACTCTCAGTTTTTAATTAACCCATTTAAAACAAATTTAGTTTGATCAAGTAGATACATAGATATAAATAGCATACTTTAGAAATATTTTCGGGGATAATTAACGGCATTTTTGAGAATGTTTTTAAAAAAAGCGGAATGCCAATTTAACATACGCCAATGACCCGCGTATGTTAACATACGTTGAAAATGATGTGCAAAAAAAAAATTTCCTGTTATTACGACGTATATCAGCATGCTTCAACATTTTAGGCTCATACAAAACCTACACATAACGTATTCGTTAAACGTTTCATACGCTTGGTATATACTTGTGTGACAGGGCCCTAACAAACAAACATCGAGTTGATCATGTCCTCTACAGCTGATATAGTTTCTGTTCAGCTATTTGTATATCGTTTTACAAGCCATCGGACCTCTGCTCTCTGTACACTAAAAGCAAAGTATTGGTGTTTGCAGCAACACAATAGAAAGCTATTTTTTAAAAGTATCTGACCATTATCTCAAATTGCGTTTCGGATTACATTTAAACGGAATATAAACATCACAAGCTAGAGTAATCAAGTCGCCTAAACTCAGTAATATTAACCTGCATGCTCAGCACGTGCTGTTGTCCTATATAAATCAACTTGCGTCAATTATTCTATACCAGTTTGATAAGAATCCACGGTAAGAAGGTTTTTGGAGAATATTTGATATTATACTCTCTCATTGTAATTTTTGATGAAATTGTTCAGAAGTCTTGAGTCACTGATGGATTATCTGTTTTCTTGTCACTCTTCTAGTTCTTTCATTCGGATTTTCATATTTTTTACTAATTCGAATATACTTCGGATTTTTTTTTTTTTTTTTTTTTTTACCATATTCTGTTTTATTTTTCAGATGTCCGTTGTTGTAGTGTTCGTTTTCCTGCTTTTGGTGGGTTCAAATTTCTTTTCTGTCATTTCTATCTCGAATGAATTGCACCATTTTACTTTTAGCTTTGTCGCCCTATACTACAGGATATAATTCGCATTTATTCGTCTTAACAAAAAATATATTTACTTTCTTGTAGGCCACAGTCTCTGCTGTTGAGCCTCCAACTGGTTATATTTTGGATGGTAAGATACTATTAACTGTTTCTATAGATACTCTATGCGTTTGTATTGGCTTTGTATTTTAACTTCAAACCTTTACCTCTTGTATCCGTCAACTCTTCCTCGTTCGCTAACTTGAATTTGTTCTTGGGTTCAATGGAATTGATACATTTTGACAAAACTGTTGCCTTGCCTGGCAAGCTATCTTTTTTTTTTCTTACAGTCAGTATAGATTGTGGATCAAGCGTCTCCGACTCTCCAGTTATTAAGATCCTATCGGATTTGGACATCAAAGCAGAAGCCCATTGTGTTGGCGAATCTTTCAAGTTCACAACGGATGACAATGTACATCATGAAGTAACTGCTTCGTACACTGTGGAGGGTGCTAATTCAAATTGTATTTTGAGGGTAAGTGCACATGGTATAAAGTATCCTGCTTTAAGTCGTTGCTGGCTACAAAATGAAATTTGCACTTGCTTCATATTTTTTTCCCTTTTTGAGCCTTGATTTTAATGCATTTCATTAATTTCCCTGATCCATCCACATTTGACCTTGTTTTCAGAACACCAAAAATACTCATGAAGCAGATGTACATGTTCTATTTGGTACTACTGGTGGTCACATTTTGACTAAAACACAAGTATTTACTGTGTCGTGTACTTTAGATTCTAATGGAATCGTTAGTGCTACTAATCTTAACACGCAATTAGGGTAGGTTGCTTCTCTCGAACACATTTTTACTTCATCCAGATCCCAATATCAATTGATTTGTACTTAATTGATTTTTTCGGTCTACAATGTCTAGGGCAAACATAATTTTATGCTTCGGTAGCTCAACTAACCCAGCAATCTGAATCTCTAGTGAAGAATTGGCAGACGAAGCTGATTGAAATTGAGCTTCAGTCTAAAACCTATTCCTAATTATCTACTCAAGCTTTCTTTGTCGGCCCCTTTTCACTTTCACAGTATTTTTAGTATTCCTATTCGGTTATTTCAGACGTATTGCCCATAAAGAATTGGTAACTAATGTTGGTACTTCCATCTTGGCGGGTAAAATTACTCTTGAATTACAAGACGTCAAAGAACAGAAAATAACTGGTGATACTCCGATGGATAAATGGGTTTCTTTGTATGCTGTATCAGATGGAACAAGTAAGCTTTTCATTTGTGTTGCAGTTTTTATTTTCCCTTGGACGTAAATTGTGTTGTATTGGCCGCGCCATCTCCAGATTATACTAAACTTTATGCAATTATTTATCATCAAATGTCTCACTAAGGTTTCGGATCTTAAAGAACCTCCAAAAAGAAAAACGTGCTAATAAGGTTAGATATTGTTACTGTACTTCAAATATTTGTCTGAATATTTTCAGTGTCTGAAACTGGGTTAAAAGCCTTATCTTGTTACGCCAAGAACTCCAACGGTGATGAATATGGTATTCTGAGATCTGGCTGTGGTGATGGTTTAGTATTTCCTAAAGATGCCGGATTTAAAACTGTTGGTAAAACCGTTCGCAGCCCTTATTTCAAATCTTTCTTGGTTGAAGGAGATGCTACTATTACTTATGAATGTGAATATCTGCTATGTACATCTGAATGTAATGGGGTAAGAGTATACTATAATATTTCATTGGTCTATAATTATACCTGTTCACATTGAAACATTATAATGCCCCGTCATTTACAACACACCAAGTAGATCACTAACGGTAATATAGACATTAGTATCGAATTGGCACTACATTGTCTTCATGGTACGCTTCCTACATCATAACCACTATAAAAAAAATGTACGTTTATTTTTCAGAGTTCTTGTGATAATACTGTTGTACCTCCAAAATAAAATTGTTAAATTATTCGTTTTTGTGTATTACTCCACTCTGTTTTTGCAACACGTTGGCTGTTTTTATTGTATACGGCTTATGGTTCACTTTTCTGAGGTCCATCTCCTTGGCCTCAATCGAGATTCAAGCTATTCCGTAATGTTGTGTTCACAATTTCTTATCCATATTTGAAATCGCAATGACGTAATTATTTTCGAGTAACCTTACTTTTGCACATTAATAAACTAGTGAAATTCCTAGTAAAATATATTTAAAAGGCACTGTGCTTAATAGTTCTTGCAGAATCTGGAACTTGGTGGTTGTATACTAATAACCGATTGCTTTGGTGCGGCATGGATAATTCGGGTTGCATTGTCAATTTCACTACACTTATTTGACGAAACTGAAACCAGTGGAGCTGGCGCACACGAAATTAGTTCACAACTATTTTGCATCTCCGAGTCGAATTTGATAAGATTCTCTTTTGGTAACGTAGGCCGAAATGATTAGATTGGGCACTGAAATGAATTATAGACAATCAGTGACAAAAAAAGGTTTGGCCAAAGATGTCCCAATTTATCAAGGTCGCCAAAAGCTTTTAATACTTTAAAATAACGTGCCACAGTAGCACCACCACTCTTATGATTTTAGATATTGAAAATGTTAAAATGAATGCGCAGTAATTTGTATCTTGTCATGGACACTGTTATGGCATCGATAAAGGAAAAAATTACTTCAGGCATATAAGGCATTTGTACAATGTTAAATCCGATTCAATTACTATAATCAGTATGACGTCACAAAGCGAATCTGGACCCCGTTTCACTTAACTTCTTCGAAATCGAAAATTTGAGTTTCATTAAAATTCTTACCACTATCGATTTTTTAAAAGTAATTGGGGGACTTCAGATTTTTATGAAATATATTTAGTTTCTGTAAATTGATATAATAAAGATGTAACAAAACAATGCTGTGGACTGCGTGCGTAAATCCTTCGTACTTAAGATCTTAAGTTTGTTAGTGAAACATGCGTAAGAATTTGCGTAAAATGATCGTAATTGTAATATTTTGTCGTAAACTTACGCACTTTAGTGAAACCGGGCCCAAATTTTTTCTGCAGGCCACGCCAAAACAGTTCACTTTTAAGGGTGTAAGTCTCATAATATATTTCTATCCTAGATAAAGAGTAAACATTTAAGACGCCATTACTAAAGCAGAAGTTATTAAAGTAACGACACACTTCAAAATAGGTTTGCTCGATTACCGTGTATATCGATTCAATTAACTGCATTGATTGTCATAATTGATACAGTATAAATGCTTTCTGGTCTTATGCTTTACTTACTGTAGACTCTTCTCTCCAAGGCTTTTCAGCACGCTTTTTAAAACATACAAGGCAACAAGAGCTAAAACTGGAAGATTTTTGACAGAATTATGACTGATAGGTAATCTGAGTAGCAGAGGTTTGAGTCTTGCAGAAGCGCTTCCTTTGTTGTTTATTCGTCACTGGGATGTGCAAGTAAAAAAGTACAAGTAAAAATCTCCCGATATTTTCTTTGTCATCCACAATATCATTTGTTGGATACCTACCCAGTCTTCAGCAAAGTTAGCCATCGCAATACCCATTTAGTGTAAGCACTTCGATAGCAGTGCCCCGAGATGAGTCAAATCTCTTATTAGAAGGCCTGCTGCAGATGACATCTGAGTGGGAGATTTGCTCATTTAAATGTTAAGTGGAACCATATTCTGATTTTTCTGCTCGAATTAAGATATCTTAGCTACCATTACTAATAGAAGTTCTATAATATTGTTTTTAAATGAATCAATTGTACTAAAGGGACAATTTTCTAAGGCGTCAGATTTTGATAAAACTTCAAATATTGTTCGTTGTCAACCCCAAAAGTATGACTGAAGGTTGAATTTTTTATAATAGTGATTGTTACTATACTGAACAAATAATCTTCACCAACGTCACAAATGTGACTGGTTTTGTCGTTGTGAATGAGATTTGGTCTCGTTCAGTTTACTTTTTTTAATAGGCTAACTATATAGCTAACTAATAATAACGTATTTATCTATTTTATATAACTTGGTTCTGGACTAGCTATTTTGTATAAAAGCTAGTCTAATATCTTAAATGATAAGGTATTGTCCATTCAATGTATAAACGTAGTGTATACAGATGCGTTTTATTCTTTTGGTGTCTGTATTGGTACGTTGATACACATGGCATCGGGATTTCTAGGTCTGATTCCAAAGCTATAAGAACGCAAACAGAAACAATCACGTCCATCAACTAAAGTTCTTGTTTCATCTCCTGGCATTAATGTTCCATCAGGCAGACGACAATTTGGTCCTGAAATAGTAATAAATATACCCAGTCAGTACTCTGTATAAAATGCCTTTAACAATTTCAAATACAATAATTGGTGGATCTATAATGCTTATAGCCCGGTCACCCCAGACTGCGACCATTTGCGATCTTAAGAGACACGAACTGTACTAGTCGCGGTTAAACGGGAATACGTTTCTGCATACGTTTATATAGGATAATGCCACATTAATCATGACAAAGCAGCTTGTGTTTTTGTTCTCATAACGATATCAAGATCTATATGCATTCCTAAAGTTGTAGTAGTCTATTTGGAAATTTACATAAGTTATTAAATTAATATTACCTTTTAGAAGTCCTCAAACTTAGAAAGTATAAGTTTCATTTTTCAGTGAGAGCCGTATTTCATTTCATATATACAAGAAAGGTTGTCTTACCATTAGGACAAGTTGCGCAACAGTCACCAGATTGTACTTCATAGTCTGCACACGGCGCATTAACACACTCTATAATGAGTAATGGCACCTCACCTTCGATACATTGTAATGGTCGACAGGGGTCGGTATCTATAACCTCGTTATTACTGTATGTTTTTCCTTCAAATGTACAACTTCCCAGTTCTCTCATACCTTCCACACATACAAAACCTAAAAATAATTATTGATTAATTAAGCGGTAGGCAATTCCCTTTTTGAGACTATTGTAATATTTTCTTTCCCATATGGCGAATATGTCCCTTGAAAGCAAAAAGAGAAATCGGAACTACTCACAAAACACTAAAGGAAAAAGAACCATTTTCACTTTCAAGAATCAGATTTTGAAATAATAAAAAAAAAATTGACGAGTGTTTTATATAGTTATAGGTGTCAATTAATTAAGAAAGTAATTATTGGATAGTATCAAACTATGAAAATGGCGAGAAATTGTGGAAAAGGTGAAAAAAAAGCGGAGAAAAAGGTGAGAACAACTCGCTGTATCAGCTTCTCAGCTTTTGAGTTGGCGTTTATTGTCCGCTCTCATGTTTGTCCTTCCGTTGTTCCAACAATTTCCATTTAAACTCTCTAGAATTTACAGTTTGAATTCAATTTTGGTATATGTAAGCAGTATCCTACAATAACAAACTCAACACAGACGAGTAGAACGTAAATCTCCATTCATATCATTTCAGTTTCCGAGAGTTCAATCTTTTGATATCGCATTTTGAGAATACCATAGCTCCTTTGGTAATCGGTATAATATATTCTGATAAACGTTTTTTAGTTCAAATTCAGCTTGTGGTCACAATAGAGGCTGCAATTTTTAACTGATCTAGATGAAACTTTGAATGTATATATATTGATGAGATCTCGGTCAAGTTCAAGTTCAAGTAATTGTCTGATGAACGGTTTTCATTTCTTGCCTTTGACTGTCAAATTCGGCTTGTAGACCCAATCAGTTGCTCAACGAGATGTATGGGGGCCAATGAATTTAATTGGGTTGGAACCACCCCGGGTTATTATTTTTTAACATATTCTCCTGTATTCTGAGGCCCCTCTGTAAGTCAATTTAATGCCTGTTAATGGTCTGTCAGGGTAGTGTTAAGGTGAAATGAGAATTTAGCACCGCTTCCAATAATTGCATGTGCATAAAAAAGAGTACCCGTTTGTGACTAGTATATAACCTTCAATGGCGGAACCGAAGGGGGCAGGGGGAAGTTTTTCGGGCATGACTCTCATAACTCGGGCGTCAACCTGGCTCCCCCACTGATAACCTTGTAGTAACTCTTTTCTAACTTCAACTTCGTATCCATCCAGTATACACTTATTTCCATTTAAAATTATTCTCTGTACTGTACCTAAGTTCTCACTCTATTTTTATTACAGTCGCTATAGATTGTGGATCAAACGGCTCCGATTGTTCCAGTTATTAAGATCCTATCGAATTTGGACATCAAAGCAGAAGCCCATTGTGTTGGCGAATCTTTCAAGTTCACAACGGATGACAATGTACATTATGAAGTAACTGCTTCGTACACTGTTGAGGGTGCTAATTGTATTTTGAGGGTAAGTGCCGGGTATTTCAATTTTCAAGTCAATTTCACAGCGCTTTGGCTATTACAATCGCTTCAAAAAATGTGTACAAGATGTTGAATAATTTGCTTCTCAAAAAAAATAATATTAATAATAATACTCCCAACTTTACTTAATATTTCTTGTCTTTGATTTAAAGCAATTTCATTAATTTCCCTGATCCATCCACATTTGACCTTGTTTTCAGAACACCAAAAAATACTCATGAAGCAGATGTATCTATTTGGTACTACTGGCAGTCACAGTCAAATTTTGACTAAAACACAAGTATTTACTGTGTCGTGTACGTTAGATTCTAATGGAATCGTTAGCGCTACTAATCTTGACAAGCAATTGGGGTAGGTTGTTTCTCAGAGTTCCTGTGATAATACAGCTTAATATTATTTCCTGTACTCGATATTTAAAAAAATTGCTAAATGATTATTTAAATAGCATTATGTATTTTGTACATTCCTATAGAATATAATATAGACTATTGATATATCGGGGTTAAACGCCCCAAAGTTCGACGATAAATATCTATATAAATTGTACAAGTACTATCCCGAACAATATAGCATTTCAAAAAATACAATATCAAGGCAACCTATTTCAACCTGTTTTCAATGTTCACCAATCGCACGTTTTTTCCAGCCCGGGATGCTGTGACGGATCTGCTACCAAGAGGCGACTATCCTACCTTTCAGTTTCTGTTCAGACAATTTGTCCCACTAAGCTCGGTACACCAATCGCAAAATGGCATAATCCACTTGATTATTAGTTGCGAACGGTGGTCAAAGAAGATGACACATTGGACACAGATTGAAATAGGTATGTTGATATTTCATTTTGACATGCTATTTTGTTTCTAATTATGTGTACAATTTTTATTCGACAAGTTGCATATTTTCAGGGTTGGTAAACGACATATTGAAGTATATCTGAGAAGTTTTAAAGAGATAAATTAACTAACAGCTGAGTTACAACATGACGAACTTTGGTACCCCCAAATCAACCCACGAAAATGGCGAATATGTCCCTTTACATGATAAGGAATGGTTATACAGAGTATATAGTATACATATGCGTTTTATTCTCTTGGAGCAGGTCTGTTGATACACAAGGCATCGGGGTTTCTAGGTCCGATTCCAAAGCTATAAGAACGCAAACAGAAACAATTACGTCCATCGTCCAAGGTTCTTGTTTCATCTCCTGGCAGTAATGTTCCATCAGGAAGACGACAATTTGGTCCTGAAATGGGAATGAAGATACTCAATCAGTACCCAGTATAAAATGTCTTCAACAATTTCAAATACGTACAATTGATGGATCTTCAATATATCCGACCATGACTGACGCAATAAAATATTTTTTGTCACAATAATCATGACAGAGCAACGTGTTTTCTTTTCCATAACCGTAACATTCCTTATAATGTAAGTTGTATTACTATAAGTTATAATATACGGCTTGGAGCCTTGAAGAACCAAAACCATCTCGTGATATAAAAGAAAACAATTGAAACTTCCTGATTCAGATGGTTATTTAGAAATGTAGAAGATAGAGTAAAAGCGAATATTGGAAACAGTATTGTTAGTAGAATGACTTTTGGTAAATATTTTTCTATATGTACATTAATTAACATACTTCCCGACTTTTATCTTAAATATTTCACCAAACAGACATTCTAAAAATATCATATGGGTCAAAAAATGTCTTACCATTAGGACAAGTTGCACAACAGTCACCTGATCGTACTTCGTAGTCTACACACGGCGCACTAACACAATCTATGATGAGAATTGGTACCTGACCATTGATACATTGTAATGGTCGACAGGGGTTGGTATCTATAACCTCGTTATTATTGTATGTTTTTCCTTCAAATGTACAACTTCCGTCAATCAACAGTTCTCTCATACCTTCTACACAGACCAAACCTAAAGTTAAGAAATACAAATCTTTCACAGTTATCAGATTAATTCAATCGCTGGACTTTTACAACAATTTAAATCTGGTTGACCGTATATTAATATTATGAAAAGCGAAACATTTTTCTATTAAATCACAATTATTTTAATTTATAACCAGAAAGGTTTCAACTTGTTATCATTTCATTTAATTGAATTTGATTTAAAGATGGAATCCCCTTATTTTTATTTATGAAAATGAAAATGCTAATACTTATATGAATAGAATGTAGAGGGGTTCTAATGACTTGGAAAAAGACCGGTTTGTCTCACATGTCCATAATTAATTCATATTTAGCTAAATATAAGAGAATTACCAGCAGAATTCCAATGAGTGGCCGATCAAGAAAGGTCAAAAGTCTTTTTTTCTGTTTATCCAAACTAATAACATGGGCAATTATTATTGGTTAAAACTCTTAATTATGTGCAATAAGAACATAATGATGTGATTAAGAATTAAGATAATTCATTAAAAACACCAATTAATAATTTGACACTAAAAAATAAGGATAACCATCTTTAAGTCAAGTTTTTTTAATATTCGTATGTGTACCTAAGGACTGTTACGTTAGACGACAGTATTTCAATAAGGCAAAAAGATAAATCAGCTACTCACCCAACATTAAGGATACAAGAAACATCATTTTCGCTTTCAAATATCAGATTTTCAAATAAAATGTAAAAATGACGAGTGCTTTATATAGTAGTAGGTGCCAATTAATATAGGAAGTAATTATTAGATGGTATCAAACTATCGGATGGTAAACTGGTTATTTCGCTTAATTTAAACTGTTAATAGTTTGTTAATGTCCATCCCGAGTAAACAGGTGCAGATTGATCAGATTCGTTAACACTATTATATATAAAGGATGATTGCCCAGAAAAGATAACAAAAGAAATTGTATTCTGTCCTAGAGCCATGCGAAAAGGGACTACGTATCAATAAATATCAAGTACAATTGAAAATAATGATGAAATCTGGTATGGAAAAGGCATACAAATCGATTTTTCTACGGAAGACAATAAGTAAGCACGTCTTAAAAGTAATGGCTATAGGTACATGTGCAAAACAATAAGACGTGATACCTCTTTTCATTTTTATTTCATACTAGATCGATTTTTAAGTAAAATAAGCCACATAAAATATACAAGATGAAATAGATATTTTATCAATATTACGTGTCGATGGCATTTCATTGTCTGAAGAAAACCCTGATACATCTAAGATCTTCAAACTTCCTCAAGTGTCAACGGGGCGTTTTATACCAGATGATAATATCGCCGTACACAATAATTCAACCATTTAAAGATTGATGACTCAAGCTCTGATTGATATTGGATGGATGGAATAGAAGCTAAGCACCACATCCAACTATGAAAAAGGTTGGTGTTTTTATGCCAATTCTACTCATCGGTATTTGATTTTTAACATTTAAACGGATCCACTTCGTGCTCGCATTAATGATAACAATCAGTGAATTTGTGATTTTCAGCATTTCACTTGGCATGTAAGTTCTGTAAAGTCTTGTTTAAACAGGCTCTCGTTATATATTATTATATATTGGGTGGCCCAGAAAAGAAAATTCAGGATTATTCAAAAAGTTTCGAAAGCTATGAATATTTTGACTTTCTACTAAAAATATTATTATTAGATTTTGAAAAACCAGCAGTTTTAGAATTCCTTTTAAAAAATTTTCGATATTTTCCAAAATAAAATTGCTTCGGGATTTAGAAATTTGGCGAATTTCATATACGTATCCATCTGTCGATTTCAACCCAGTGTGAGGTACTTTCTAGCTGAGAGAGTTTACAGTAGGAGATCAGTTGTCATCAAAGAAGAGGAACTGAATGGCCGAATTAAGGTGGAATAGGATTAAATACTGTTTGACAAAATCCGGAACACAATTTTGTCATAGAAAAGGTTTTCAATGGGTGCTCTGTGCTGAAAATGGTGGCTACATTGACAACTTATATATAATACATTAAAGTACAGCATTCAATTTTGTGCATGATGTTCCAGCCTACATGGAAATTTGTCGGTCTAAAAATGTACACAGTGCATCTGGGTTATGAGGTTCCTTGCCAAAACCAAATGTATGAACACATCTACACGTTTTTCCATCCGGCATAATTCTGATTTCTTTTCCAGGCATAAGAGTTCCATTAGGTAGGCGGCAATTCATTCCTGAAGAAATAAAGAGAAAAATTTATGTAATCTGTTGCTATGACTGATACTGGAGATGACGATGATGGTTGTGGCAATGCTACAGTTGCTGTGTATGATACTTCCTATGATGATGATGAGCGACGTATGGTGGTGGGAGTCACGGATGAGTGTACCCGCGAAGACTTTGGTTTGTGGTGGAATGGTCATGATGATATTAATGAAAACTAGGAGGCAATGGATGATTGAAAAGGTGAAAAATGATGGTAAGGTTGTTAATACAGATGGTGATGATGAAAACTAGGAAGCGAAGTGAGATTTTATAGGTGGTTTGGATAAAGTTGACGATGATAATATTTTGAAGTAAATGGGGTGGTAGAGGCGTATAATGGTGGTAACGGTAAAGGACAATGGTAGAGGTTGTTTTTGGTTATGGTGTTGGGGATGATGATAACTACATAGCGATACTGGGATACAGTTTGTGCAGAAGGTGATTGTGATTACTGATGAAAATGACAACTTCGAATCAAAGGGATGGTATACGAAAATGATGAATATGGAGATATTTTGCGGTAATAGTACTAATGATATTTAGGAGGCGTAAGAAAAGGTGCAAGATGATGGAAGAAGTGAGTAAATATGGTGATACACGAAAAGGATATTGATGGCGTTGTTTTGCTGATGATGGTCATGAGCAATGATGGTCAATTGATAAAGCCAATACAGCAGCCCATTCCAATCAGTAATTTTCATTTATTATTTCTATTGCTATGACTAATAGAACTTACCTGTAGGGCAGGTTGCACAGCATTCACCTGATTTGATGACGAAGTCTACACATTGTGGATTTATACAGTCTACAAACGCCAGTGGTACATACCCACTGATGCATTTCCTTGGCTGACACGGATCACTTGGGATGATTTCTCCATCGTTATATACTTGTCCTTTATACGTACATTGTCCAATTTTATTGCTATCTAAACCCAAACTATGGCCTTTCACACATAGTAAGCCTGAAATATTAAGTGCGATTGCTTCCATAATTGAACTTTTTTCATACAGGGATCCAACATAATTCTATGTTTCAATCCTTAACAGGCGTTAAACTGCGATATGGTAATGAAGCAAAAAACTTAGATGAAATACCAAAACAATAACTTACCAAAAAGTGAAAATAAGTATATTCCCATCATGTCGAATTTATATCTGTTTTCTACTGACGATATAATTTAATGATGTAAATATATAACGTAAAATGCGTATTTATATGGAAATTAAATTTAAATCACCATCTTGAATTTCAGAATGTTGAAAATTGAGGACAATTTTGATTATCAGGTACTATTGGATTTCTAGTTGTAAAGGTTCAACCCATGCAGAGATGACAATTGACATTTGTAACATTCATAGAACCTCAGTCCAATATAGGACAGAAAGTAGCTTTTAGTCCACAGGAAACTTATAATTCTCTAATCTGACATGGGGTTTGTTAGTCTCTTGAATATTATTTTTTTTTTTTTTTTTTTTTTTTTGCTTTTTAAAAAAGAATCGAATATGTAAATCTTCTTCTTCCGTAAATTTGAGAATTTGTATATTCATGTTAGAATATATGTAGCCTACGTTTTTGTTATATGTTTATATATATATAAAAAAAATATTAGAGCTATAAGATGGTGAAATGGTAAAAAAACATGTGAAACAATTTCCATATCGACGTACATCAAAACCAGATATCTAAACTTAAGTACTACTAAGTGCAAGTATTCATACAAAAACTACTGCGCACTGTATTTTCGTTTAATAGTTGAACGATTATGTAACCATTTATATTAAATATCAAAATTAATCAGTTACGATTACAGAATCAAATGACAAATTCAAGTTGATGTCGAAAGGTCATCAGGATATAGATTATCAGAAAATGATTATACGATTGCATCCCATTTAGTACGTACAAGGCAAATGAAATTATGTGTAGGTGCACTTTATAATTATATAATAGTAAGTACGAATAAATTACTTAATATAGGTATGAGCAAAATGTCAGTACGGGGAAGTTGTAAAATAGTCGTGAAATGAAGTTTGCTAGTACAGGTACAAAACCCAGCCGTGAGTACGTCGATATAGTCATAAGAATAAATTTGCTAAATACTAATGTAAGTCAAATGTCAGTATGTGTACGTCGTTAAAAAGTCGTAAAAATGAAATTTGCTATAACAGGTAGAAATCCCAGCGTAGATGTAGTCGTAAGAATAAAATTTGCAAAATACTAATGTAAATCAAAAGTGAGTATGTGTACGTTGTTAAAAAGTCCTTAAAATGAGATTTACTGATACAGTCCTAAAGTGAACCAATCAAATACCAGTGTACGTAGAAATTTTCTAACTACAGGTATAAAATAAGTCTCATGTCAGTATGTGTACAGTATGTGTGCGTATCTAAATAATCGTGAATGAAATTTACCAAATACATGTATAGGTATAACTAAAATGACTGTATTAATTATATAATCAAATGTCAGTATGTGTAAGTTGTTATGTAATCAAGGACAGTAGGTGTACGTGGTTAAAATGAAATTTGCTAAATACAGGTATAAGTCAAATGTCAGTATGTGTACCTTGTTAAATTGTGGTTAAAATGAAATTTACTAAATACAGGTATAGGTCAAATGTCAGTATGTGTACCTTGTTAAATTGTGGTTAAAATGAAATTTACTAAATACAGGTAAAAGTTAAATGTCAGTATGTGTACCTTGTTAAATTTTGGTTAAAATGAAATTTACTAAATACAGGTATAGGTCAAATGTCAGTATGTGTACCTTGTTAAATTGTGGTTAAAATGAAATTAGTTAAATACAGGTATCAGTCAAATGTCAGCATGTATAAGTTGTTAAATTGTGGTTAAAAATGAAATTTACTAAATACAGGTATAAGTCAAATGTCAGAATGTGTAAGTATTGAAATAGTGGTTTGGTTAAAATGAAATTGGTTAAATACATGTATAAGTCAAATGTCAGCTTGTGTAAGTTGTTAAATTGTGGTTAAAAATGAAATTGGTTAAATACAGGTATAAGTCAAATGTCAGCATGTGTACTTTATTAAATTGTGGTTAAAATGAAATTTACTAAATACGGGTATAAGTCAAATGTCAGTGTTTGTACCTCGTTAAATTGTGGTTAAAATGAAATTTACTAAATACAGGTATAAGTCAAATGTCAGAATGTGTAAGTATTGAAATAGTGGTTTGGTTAAAATGAAATTGGTTAAATACAATTATAAGTCAAATGTCAGCATGTGTAAGTTGTTAAATTGTGGTTAAAATGAAATTTACTAAATACAGGTATAAGTCAAATGTCAGAATGTGTACCTTGTTAAATTGTGGTTAAAATGAAATTTACTAAATACAGGTATAAGTCAAATATCAGCTTGTGTAAGTATTGAAATAGTGGTTTGGTTAAAATGAAATTGGTTAAATACAATTATAAGTCAAATGTCAGTATGTGTACCTTGTTAAATTGTGGTTAAAATGAAATTTACTAAATACAGGTATAAGTCAAATATCAGCTTGTGTAAGTATTGAAATAGTGGTTTGGTTAAAATGAAATTGGTTAAATACAATTATAAGTCAAATGTCAGTATGTGTACCTTGTTAAATTGTGGTTAAAATGAAATTTACTAAATACAGGTATAAGTCAAATATCAGCTTGCGTTAGTTGTACCAAGTTAAATAAGAATGGTATTTGCTAAATATTGATATACATCAAATGTCAGTGTCTGTGTCAAATGTCAGCTTGTGTATGTCAAATGTCAGTGTGTACATCATTTTGCTGCAGTTATTAATAAACGTTTAAAAAAGGTGTGCGTTGGTGCAAGGGTGTGTGTGTGTGTGTGTGGAATGTGTTTAGGTTTTAATTACAAGAATTATATTTAAATATTGAAAATATTTCAGTCAATTTATATCCTCTGAGGTAAAAAAATATCTTTGTCAATCTATAGGTGCTACAAGTACCCACTGGTATTAAAGATTATAGTAATGATGATGAAATATAATGATAATTTGCCCCATAATGTGATACAATATAACATATTTTCGTATTTGTCACATTATAATATAAAAATTATCTGCCCAAGCAAAATTCACTTCATCAAAGCACTCTTTTGAAAATGTACAACATAAATCCATTGAAATATCCTTTATTTAAAGAGAAGGGGACAAAAAAAATAATAACATTGACAAACAAAATAAATAAATAAACATTTATCACAGACATTATTCATAAACATAGGAGATTCTCTCCTTAAACTGATACATTATACACAATTCGAATAGCAAATAAAAACTATTTCTAACCAAAAGATTCATTATCATTTAAAGAGGTATTAAAATATTAAAAAGGATGGACAAACTTCAGTTCCTTATGCAATGAAAAGGGATCCTGGGACAAACTAAAGTACAACATATGATATAATAACTACATATAAATTGAAAAAGGACAAAATATAGAAGAGCAAATACCTTATAACTAATATACAATCAAATATATTCACTGTTAAAATAGGACTCAATACATCAATTGTAGAGCAATATAGAAATATTAAAACATAATCCAAATAAATATGTTGTTGTTAATTTGAATTTCACACTATCATGTAGTTGAAAACTGAGTAACACCATGATGTTTTTTTAGGTTCCGTTTTAATATTTCTAACAACTAATATAAACAAGAGCAGTCTATTTTGGGGGTGAGGAAATAGAGCGACTGCCACAAGCATCAAAAATCTAAATCTCATTAAAGAACAGATAAGTATATAGACATTTAAATATAACATATAATGAAGAAAAAATAGATAAAAATAATTAATTATGGCACAATAAGAATTAATTGATATTTTGATAAGTAGTATTTCTGTATGATATATTTTGATTTTAATGACAACTATTAACTATAAGTTGACAGGTTTCTAGACGAAGACTTAGCTCTTATTTCAGTTTAAAAAATTACATTTTCAATGTAAAATTGAAATAAAGGCACTTTTTTCAGAATTTCTTACAAAGAATGACTAATGATATCTGTATTATATTATTAAAAAGAATTATAAAAAAGAAGAGGTAACTCTATTAGGTTATTTCTTGATATTTTTATTTTAAATCTTCATTAACAAATTAGCAATTTACCTCTTAAGCATTTAGACGTTTCATCATATCTATAGAGCATAGTAATATAGGAACCTAATATAATTATGTACATTGTAGATAGTCAACATTTGTATTTCTTAGATGAAATATTTTAGTACTTCAACCTAAAATCAGTCTTTGGAAGTTGACTTTTTGCAGTATATTTTACAATAAAGGCAAGTTATATCAAGTTTTATATCAAAATTTGCAATCTAAATACAAAATACTTGCAAATTGTTACGGTTGAAAACTAGCAAACTTCTATTTAAAAAATTATGATTTCCTGCTGTAAACAAAGAACATTTTTGAACCTTTCGACATTTTTTGAATGAAAAGTTTTGACATGAAAATAAATATCCTCCTGTAACTACCTCCTTAGCTTTATTTTATTATATCATATACATATCATATACAACCAATCTCTCTAGAAAATATGCAGCAATAAAATGCTCTGTCATAAAGTGATAAAATATAAAAAAGATAGTCACATAGATTTAAGTATTATTTATACATGTACTAATATAACATATAAATATTCACAGCACTGTACAGAAGACTGTACTGACGACTAGACAAAAACAATAGGAGTTACTTCCCTTGATATCACATTTACTTCATGTGATAAATCACTACATCTATTTCAATAGAGTTTTCGCCATATTTTGTTAATATGATATTTCAAATCATTAGATGAGTAACAAATACCACCTTTTTCATATATGTACAATTCATAAACTGTACAAATTGAATTGTCGAACTATCATTTGACAGTTTTCAATAAATAAAGCTCATTATTCAGTCGCTATGATACAACTTAAACAATGTATTCTGTCACTATACACATTTTTAAAGGATGCAGTTGTCAAAATATTTCCAAGCTGATAGAGCTCATTTCTTATTTAAAGTATTTTCAAAATGACAATCTGACAGCTGACAACAATCTAATTATCCAGGCTAACAAGATTTTTATTAAATATTTAAGAACTGCTTGGATATTGAAATTGATTCAGCCATCAGCATGTATAGCAAATATTTTGATGTCGATATACATTTAAATAATATATTGGAGAAATAACTTAAAATACAACATACTTACAAGGTGTTAAAAGTAATAGATACAACTAGAAGGGAAAATAATTGAGACAGTTTGCAAAAATAGCAATTATGACTGACAAATGATAGGATAAAAACAGTATAAATTAGCTATTAACTATCACATGCACAGTATTTTTCTCTTTGGTCAGCAATTTTTGTAGCAAATCCATTCTTTTTTAAACCATCTTTAAGAGAAAAGATTATGACACTTTTGCACTAAAACAAAATGGCAGCCTCCAGTTCCTTGACCCACCATGTACACGTAAAGCCATCCATTCCTCCATATTTGGTACAGTGTAAATATCGGATTCGTCATGTGTATTGTCCATATCTAAACCACCTACAGCTAACTGTGAACTGTTGACATCTGGTACTGAATTACCTGTATCACACCCTATAATAAATACAGATAGATTCTATCTAGGTCTACTCAATTCTATAAAAGTTTAGTTCAAATTTAGGTTTGTTTAGATATTGTTTCTATTACGTTCCATCAACAACAGCAATCTTACAAGTTTGATTATGGGCGATATGAGCTGTAATATGCTAAAAATAGAATGAAAACATGACTTGAGATGGCCAATGATAGGTAAGATTCTCTTGCAACAGTAAAAGTTTGTGTTTCGTTTATTGTCATTCATTGTACAGATCTCCTCTATTTTAACTCTACTAACACAGGGGCTCACGCCACACTACTAAGTGTCAAGTTTCAAGATTTCTTTACTACCAAACCAACAATACTTAACCAAACCAACAATACTTAACCAAACCAACAATACTTAAACATCCAATTGATACAGATCTAACTAACACTAAAGTACCGCCAACTACCTAGTCTGTGATATGAGTCCTGCTGAAGCAGACCTTAACTTTATCTTCCACAAAACAACCAACGATTGCCACAAACACAAACAATCACTATACTTACTTAAATTACAGTGGCCACAAACACAAATAATAGCTATACTTACTTAAATTACAGTGGCCACAAACACAAATAATAGCTATACTTACTTAAATTACAGTGGCCACAAACACAAATAATAGCTATACTTACTTAAATTACAGTGGCCACAAACACAAACAATCACTATACTTACTTAAATTACAGTGGCCACAAACACAAATAATAGCTATACTTACTTAAATTACAGTAGCCACAAACACAAATAATAGCTATACTTACTTAAATTACAGTGGCCACAAACACAAATAATAGCTATACTTACTTAAATTACAGTGGCCACAAACACAAATAATAGCTATACTTACTTAAATTACAGTGGCCACAAACACAAATAATAGCTATACTTACTTAAATTACAGTGGCCACAAACACAAATAATAGCTATACTTACTTAAATCATCTACAGAACAAGGATCTCTAAATCTACTAACACCACGCTTCCTTGGTTGTTTTTTTAATATTAATACCACACCATTTAAATATTTAAAGACAGTTAACTCTAGTATACTCTGTTTAACTTCTATATTAATAATACATTGTGATAGCCAGGTCTTTAAAAAGGTAAAGTCAGCACCCAACTGTTGGGCACCAGTTACACTGAAATAAACAGATGTATAACCTATGAGATCTATGGGAAGGGATAGATAAGGTGCCCTCACACCATAGCGATTACCAGGTGTGTATGGTTGTGAGTAATGAAACACAGTTGCATTATTTATAACTAATACACAACTGGTGATTGCTATAGTGTGAGAGACTATCTCAATGCTGTGCTAAATAAGCTAATATATTTAACAAGTTAACACAAATGATTTGTGAATTCTTGCTGCAGCTGCTAAATTGGCTCATTTTATTAACCAGCATCCAAATGATCCCTCGTCTGAAAAGGTCCTCACACCATGGCGGTTGACAGTTGAGTAAAAGAATAGTAATAAGTTTCCAACAGGCAACAAAGTTACATTCATACCATTAATACCAACCATATGGAACTGCTTATAGTTATGGTGTGAGGGCAACTTTATATATAATAATGAGTCCAATGAGGAACATTTCTCCAAGTCAAAATTAAAATAAAAGTTAAATAGCCTACTTTAAGCTTACCTAAATTTGATTTTTTCTTTGAGTATATGTGTTGTCCAGGCTTCACAGATAGCTTTAGTTGCTAAAGATATGACTGATATTTGTGAAGGTAATTTTAATTTGTTGACTCCTTCAATAACAGGTTCTAAGATACATTCTAAAACTTGTTCAACATATGGATTAGCTTCTACTGGGAAATCTAGATAAGAAAATAACATGAATGTTTCTGTGTGTACTAGACATCATCTAATCTGTATCCTTAATTCAGTAGGGGAATAATTCATAGCAAGAATAGTTCATAGCACGAATAACTATATAATCATTTTCTACACATCTATTAAGTGGCTTCTCTTGCAAATTTCTCTTCGTAAACAACATAACTGATCCTTGAATTTAACTGCAATTATTTAGACAAAGCTGACACAAAGCATTCCACTATTCTCTTCTTTTCAAATATTTGAAGTCTGAAAACCAAACTCTCAGTAGATCCCTGACAGTCAAATAGACAAAAAAAAAACCTTATAACTCAATTAATGTTCTTACCAGAAGCTGTTTTTCTCTTCCAGGATTTGGCAGGTGGCATCGTTTCTTCAAACAGAGAGTAGGCTTTAGCTTTCAACCTCTTGGAGAATGTTTTCATGGAAGATCCAGATAAACTCTGAAATAGAGTATGATTAGAATATATGAATGTTAAAGTGAATATTTGGTATATGTGTAATATGTATAGTATATATCATAGAAAGCATATACGCGTCATGCGGATCCGTCATCCGGCATGCGTTAAAAATCAAAATGCTGGTTTAAGAGGGTATGATTCCATATATGCGGACGCCGTATCCTTCAAATGGTCTCTGTCATGCGCCAAAAAAAAAATCGCCCGGTGTAGCAATTTTTGATGCATCCGGACGCCTTTCCGAGCGGAGATCTTCCGAATGCAACATATTTTGTGGGGATTCCCTGTCTTTTTTATGCATCCATCTGTCTAGAAGTCCGTGCGTCAAAAGAAAGATAACACAATCATTTTAACGCACATATGGAATCATGACACATGACGGATCCGCAAGGGCCATTAATGTCCGCATGACGCATTCGCATGACGTGTATATGGAATCTTAGCTTAATATATGTCTGTAACTAATGATATTTATAAGTTTACTATTTTCTCAATAATAATGGGTCACCCAGAAAAAAAAAAAAAAAAAAAAGTGTTAATTTTTTCTGGGCCCCCATATTTGATTATCTACTTTGAGAAGTTGAAAAAATCAATAAGAAAACATTTAGGTTGGTTTACATTTTTTGCCCACTGTACCAGCCACTATAACACCTCAGACTTCAGAGACAAGACTTATTAAACTAGGTTCAACATAAAAGATTCATAGTTTCAAGGATTGTTATTTGCTTGAAAATATCAAGATGACTTTAAATGCTTGGAAAGTTATCTCCTTACCTGTAACTGTGAATTGAGTTTATTTATAGATTTATAGAAGAAGTTAATTTGTTCAGCTGAAATATGGTTAGATAAGACATGTTGAGCTCCTAACTGAGAATTTAATGTTTGAAGGTAAAACGCAGCTTGTTTAGTTTCATCTACCAATATCTGTAATAGAGAACAAAATATCATAAACTAGTTGACATCATAGAAAATAATAAAAGTTTACAAGACCCTTTCTATCAGCTGGTCCTTGAGTAAAACTTTGGATATTGATCTGTACCGGGTTTTCTGTACCCATGTCAACAGGCATTCACACATAGAATGAGATTAAACCTATGACCACCTAGCAACTAAGCAAATGACATCATTCCAAGGCTGTGCAGCAGTTCGTTCAAGTTTGTCAAGCAAAGATACAAGTTTCTTGTTACTTCTGGACATACTAATGTTAGTGAAGAAGGAAGAAGAGGAATAGTGGTAAAAAATATTTACTCTCAAGTCTGCATGGATGACTAATAAAAATGGATTCACAGCCCATGAAGCTAAGAATTGTTCAACTTTTGAAGTGCACCATATATGGGATGATTGACAGGTGGTAAGCAGACGACAAGCTATCCCAGCAGCCAGTTGTAAGCCATTATCTAATTCTAATCTGGGAAGTAAGTTGTTGTTGTCTGTAAAAATACAAATGAAAGTAACAAAGGTTGTAGGAAGTACAAATAGGCAAAATTAAAGTCAATTGAATTTCAATATAAGTTTTGGATATGACAGAAACTGTGTATTTTGAACTTTTAAAACTGATTTCAATTAATCTGCAGACATAAAAGAACTTAAAACCATCAAAATGATTTAGGACTTTCAAACAAACTATTAAAAACAATTTAGTTTATGCCAATCGGTCCAGACATTTAAAGCATATTTATGTTTGTTTATATCTTACTTGCTGACAAATGACCTTGTAATGGTATTAAATAGCCAATAAAAATGTCTACCAGCAATCTTTATGGTGCTTTGACATTTAATCAAGGTGATATCCCTTAGCAATATACAATTGAATTCTGTATTTTAGTAGAAGCTCTGGCAAGTTAATATTTTTCCAAAATTACAATAAAAAGTTCACAATGGCATTAAAGTACAAATGTTTTTGTTTTTATGCCTTTCAGAGAGTCCACATAGCTTTTACTGTTTTGCCACTCAGGACAAAATCACATTACATTAATTTTGCTTTGCATTTTGTAATACATCTGCTATTCATTCCTTAATATAGATAAACTTACCTATATCTATCATGCCCAAATCATGTAACATATCATGGAATAGAGATAACAGTGGTCTATAGGAATCACGTAATAATTTACCAGTTTTAGTTGAATATTCTCCATCAGATAACAGACAGGGATAACATTTATCTATAGCCTGACTGCTAACAGCATTACACAGGGCTGAAATAGACATACATAATGAATTAATATCTCAATCAGATAACAGACAGGGATAACATTATCGATAGCTAGACTGCTAACAACATTAGACAGAGCTGAAAAAGACAGACAGAATTAATTAATATCTCCTTCAGATAACAGACAGGGGTAATATTATTGATAGCCTGGCTGCTAACAACAATTAAACAGATCTGAAAACAGACTGAATTAATAGCTTATTCTGATAACAGACAGGGATAACATTACACAGAGCTGAAATATACAGATATAATGAATTAATATCCCAATCAGATAACAGACAGGGATAATATAATCTATATCCTGACTGCTTACAGCATTACACAGAGCTGAAATAAAGTGACAGAATGAATTAATATCTCATTCTGATAACAGACAGGGAGAGCATAACAGAGAGCTGAAATAGACAGACAGAATGAATTAATGTCTCCTTCAGGTAACAGACAGGGATAATATTATCTATAGCCTGATCGCTAACAACATTACAAGGAGCTGAAATAGACAGACAGAATGAAGTAATATCTCATTCAAATGACACAACAGACAGGGATAGCATTACACATAGCTGAAATATTTAGACAGAATAAATTAATATCAGATAACAGACAGGGATAACATTTCACAAAGCTGAAATATTTAGACATAATAAATTAATGTCAGATAACAGACAGGGAGAACATTTCACAAGCTGAAATATTTAGACATAATAAATTAATATCAGATAACAGACAGGGAGAACATTACCCAAAGCTGAAATATTTAGACAGAATAAATTAATATTAGATAACAGACAGGGATAACATTACACAAGGTGAAATATTTAGACATAATAAATTAATGTCAGATAACAGACAGGGATAACATTACACAAAGCTGAAATATTTAGACAAAATAAATTAATATCAGATAACAGACAGTGATACCATTACACAAAGCTGAAATAGTTACACAGAATAAATTAATATCAGATAACAGACAGGGATACCATTACATAAAGCTGAAATATTCATACAGAATAAATTAATGTCAGATAACAGACAGGGATAGCAATACACAAAGCTGAAATAGTTAGACAGAATAAATTAATATCAGTTAACTGACAGGGATAACATTTATCCACATGGTCTGCATGCTTACAGCTGTAACACAGAGCTGTAGTCTAACTGCTATAATTCCAAATTAAACATCTGTCATTATAGTCATGACTTAGTTGAATTAACTTCTGGTAAGGAATTTTATATTATATATTTCATATTACATCTATAATAAATAAAACTTACCAGTATCCCATGCAGAATAAGCTGATAAATTAGTTAATCTATGAGCTACTTTTAATAATGGCTGAACAGAACCTTGTGGAAATATATCTGTAATGCATAAATTTTATTACAAAATATAATGATTTATACATGAATGACCTTAGAAGAGAGTCATCTTCTGGGATCCTAGTTATCCATGGGGTCTGATAATTGTATATTTGTAGACTTATTTGTGATCCTTCAAAATCTAGAGAATAATGTTTTAAGCAATGCTCACACTAGCCTGAGATGTTTGTGATTATTTCTACATTAGATCTATATTGATTCTATATGAAACATGACTAAATTTCAAGAGTGGATGAACATTGAACAAAATAATTATATCAATGGATAAGTCTTATTACCTCAAAACTTTACAATGTATTTGCCCATTTGTCTGCTATAAAAGAATGAATTTATCATGTTTGAATTTACAATTGATATGTTATGTCCCGTATTTCTCAAAGTAGAGTACTTGTCCACTCTCTAAAAATCTTACAAAGTCAAGAAGTTAAGGTTTGACCTGTGGAACTTTGAAAGGTATAGTGATTTTACACCCACACTATATAATAAATATAATTCAAATTATTTTCTGACACATCCCTATCTGTATCAAGATTACATGTAGCACAAATGTTAAATAAATGATGTTTTAACGCCTACAGTTTCGCCTACAGTTTCAAAATAAAAACCTGTGAAAGTGGGATGTCTAATCATTATTATATAAATATATAGACTTCTGAACAGACATCTAAAGAAAAGAGATTTGATTGTTTATCTTGGCAGAGAACAGATGGTTTTAGTTTCAGTACATTCAGTTTTACAGTAAAACAAGATGTTTATTTCAAAATAAAGAGGTGCAGCAAGTTTTTGATCCATACCAAAACATAATGTTAAAAATAATACAATCAAAGGATCTGTTGGGGAAGATAGTACCGCAAACTAGAAATTTCACTTCCTATTTCTATAAGCTTGGCAGAGTCTCAAGAAAAGTCGAGTTGTCCTTTAACTTTTTACACGGATAATTCTAAACGCGCATGATTGGTCAACTCGGATCTTTAGATATCACTCACTATTTTAGCTTACCATAGCTCAAAAATTCTAAAAGCATCTAAAACTAAGGTATGATTGGTCAAACGGGATGGAGAATCTCTCCCTTTAAAAGTCAACCCGACCCCAAATTAGTGGTAATGCCTAACCTTTTCATAATGAGTTCTCAAAATACGATCAGCTCAATAGTTAATTAGGCTGAATATTGGAAAGATAAAGTGTGTTTTGATGCAAATTTATGAAGTTGCATGTAGACTCTTCTACCCAGATATTTCAACAAAAATTGACATTGAAATCCAGGGATCTGGCTTCCACATTTTTAGATTAAAGTCTGAGACATTAGCACCATATATATATCATTGAAGTACTAGCAGAGTATATATATATCAGCTACTATGATATATGAGTTATGTAATGTACAGATGGTTTGTATTATTAACAATTGAAACCAAGCATATGATACACCCTCTATCTATATATTACACCTGTCTTATCTTCTATATCATCATCATTCTAGTTAGCTTTCACCTGTATTATTTTTAACAACATTCTATACCTCAGAATATTCCTGGCAGACAGCATGCACTGATACATTATAGAATTAAAAATAGGTAGCTTACATTCAAATAATATCTTATTCCTTTATTTCAGCCAGGACCTTTGCAGTTATTAAGTTTCCAGTAAAACTTTTTTTCAAGTTAAAAACTAGTTATTAATTTTCCAGTTATTCAGTTATCAATTTAGTTCATAATTTCAGTGAACATTTCAGATGTTCATTGTTATTTAGTTATTTAGATCAAACAACAGCAAAATAATGTATCTTGTATGAATAAAAATATTTTACCCACACTACATGTCAAAATTTATTCCAAAAAAAGCAAAAAATTCTTCAATGTATATGACCTAACATGTTAAGTGACCTCAGGCAATTGAATTGTAGAGCTATAAGTCTTTCAGTGCATACATACCTTTTATACAAACATGTTCCATCATATGTCTTAATACAGCTATCAGAGTATCATTAGATAATAACACACTACCAAATTCACTTTTTAACACATTTTTATGGATTTCCCATGACGGTTCATCCAAACACAGATCTAAATTCTGACCGAAACATGCCCACATAATATCCATATATTTGGATACAATTTGATTACGTACAGAACTATCAGCGTTATCTCCCCATGACACAGTTTTACGCCTAGAATCTGACCTAGATAATACTACAGGCATGTCTGACTGAACCCGAGGAGGTCGTCCTACAACAGGACTGAATGTAGCCTTTCCATCTTTCTGACGCACTTTCTTGGTCGATTCATTTTTCCTGAGTAAATTTGTCGAGTTACACACAACCAATAAAAAATTTTCTGTAAATTCCTGTTCTCTACGAGAGAAATCAACTAAAGGAGACATATAAATAGAAAGATCAGGAGCATGTATAGATCCTATTGATAATAATGTAGCACTAAGACTGGTGTTACTACCTGTTTCAGTATGATAATCTGATGTGTCTTGAGGAATCATGTGATTTTTTGACATTTGGCTGGATTTCTGGTTTTGATTTTCTTGATCAGTATTCCACAAATATACTGGAAGATGTCCGCTTTTGAGGATTTTAACAAATTCTTCGTTGACAGTGAAAAACCGGTGGGTAAGACTGGCAGCATAGCGAGAACGTTCTTTAGCTAAAAGTGTGAGCACTTTTGAAAATGGAATGCCTTTCACTGAATGACTGAGGTTACAAGGAAAATTGGAAAATGAAGGGTCAAGATGTAAACAAGAAGTTGAAAATAAATTTTTTGAAGGGAGAAGAGCTTGGAGAATTGTGGAACACTCAGAAACACTGACTGATCGAAGACTTAACGCAATGGTGTTAAACTCTTCCAACCCTCTAGTCACATTCCATAATACTTCGGGTGTTAATTTATCCATGTCACAATGTGCAAAAACTTCAAATCCTGTAATGATTAACTTATCTAACCACCAGATTGCTTTATCACACAGTGTGGTCAACATTCTCTTAACATAGTCCACTTCCATTGATAGAAAGCCCAGATTCGATTGAAGCCACTTGTTTGAATTCAATTTTTGTTTGATGGAATTCCAATGATTGACATGTATTCTAAGATCCTCACATAACGCATTTAAACAATATAATTTACTCACGGGTGCTTCAGAAGCACAACCATGACGTATTGCGTAAGCTGTTCGATATTCACAATGTACTAATCCTTCTAGTTCCTCGACATAGGCTGCTGCAGCACGTATTTTACTCATACAATCACGTACAAATTCAATGCGTGCACGATTTTCCATTAATTTACGCAGCTCACCATAATGGCAGGCAAGAGCAGGCGATCGTGGGCAGTGGATAAAATGTCCTCCCCCTGCTTCAGGTGATTTTTTAAGAGCATATCGACCTGGATTGACTACATGAAAAACTTTGCGTAATTGTTTCACAGATTCCTCAGCATCATTGGCATCGAAAAATGTTTCCAGGGCTGATGAGTAGGACAAGTCACCATCAGCTTCATAACCAAAGATTTCCATTGGTATATCTGGTGGTTCTTCCATATCCACAGATTGCATCTTACCAATAGCTTGTATTGGTGGCAGACGCCTTCTGTGTGAACTTTTTCCAACATGGCTGCTGTCTGGTTCGTACATTCTTCTTTAATAACTACATCTTGACCTGAAATGAAAGACAATGATAGATTCAATTCATACATCATCAAGCCTTCACTTTGTTAGGGTTTTAATATTATACTGCAAATATTATAACATGTAATGTTAACAATTGTGGATTAAAAAACAATTGTATTTATCTCTTTGATACAGGTCTGTACAAATGTATGTACATTAAACTTATACAACTTGCTACACACACAATTTCTAATATTTGAAATATGTTGATGAAAATAAAAAGTTTTGTGAAAAGAACTAATAATAGAATAAGAGAACTAGAATAATTTGTATGAAACATGGTGATTTAATCAGAATCTTTTTGAAAGTTCAATAAAGGTATGAACAGTTTGGAGGTGTCAGGACAGTCAGTGCCAAATCATAATATAGAGGTTTTGATATATGAAGGTAGCAAAAGGGAAATTGATCTGTTTCATGCATTTAAACGGGCAATAAATCAAATAATGTGCTGAATTGATTACTTCTATTGCAAGCAACATTATCCCAAACAGCGTGAAAACTTATCTCCTTTTAAATCACTGCAGTTGATACAGATCTTCGTTGTTGCAGTGAAATTGGAGCAAAAGTGTTTATGACATTGCTTTTACATTGATAATATCAAGTGTAATATATCTCCCAATAACCAATTACAAAGTAAAAGATAATAAAACAAATAGTAATTTTCTAATCAAGTAAATGACAAGTAAGGTGACATGTTGATTGGAATGTTACCACAAAGATGTCAACTACTTCCTGTTAATCTATTACTAGTATTCTAACATCAGATAATATAAATTAACACCACTAGTATTGGTGCTTTGAGTTTTCATGATCAGCCAATATTTGATATACAACTATATTTAGTACATGGAAAAGATTCCTGGCATGATCACAGCATAAAAGCCAAAATTCAATTTTCTTTCAGGTATGATATCATTTTAATCACAATACTTTGATTAATGTTATATGTAAAATAGCATGTATGGTAAGCAGCAATTACAGGTTTTGTTACAATTGAGTTGGTGACATCAAAATCAATTTTGACAGTTTTAATTAAGTTAAACACTGTCAAAAATGTACAAATATCACATTCTTCCAAGATCATTCATCATTCATAAATTCATATCAAATCAATTATCATCATGGGTTAATAGACATGCTATCATAGTTAAAGGATATTATCACATGTATACAAAGTTCCATCAACATCACATGAAAACTAGAAACTCTATTGCGTCAAAAAGCCAATTTTGATACACTTGAGCTAAATCATGGGCAATAACTCAAACCATAATGAAAATTGTGCCAGATATTAAAAATCATATGAACTGGATCAAACAGAAATACAAACCAAAGGACTTTGTTGATAGCGATGAACGTACAAATTTTATGCGTAAGTTTAGAATACAAAAGCTTTCTTAAAAAGAGATGCACAAATGTTCATCAAAATCTGAATCCAACTAAAAAATCTTAATCCAATAAGAAATAAGAATCTTAATCCAAGGAGAAGCTTATAAGCTTAGAGGTTTCGTATAAAAAATATTATAGAAATCAATGAAACTTGCTGACATCTAGCAAATTGAAGATAGTTTCTAGAGAAACAAGGTATTGAACAGTTTATTGACAAAAACAGAAATAATAATCAGTTAAAATAAGCTACAAATAGAAAATATTCAAATCAATTTTTCAAATCAAGTTTTCAAATATCTTTTTTCCAAGGTTATCATGAAGTACAAAATGAGACAATGAACCATGGCCTTGGTGCTACAGGCTGTCTGAACATGTCAAAGATTGAATTGAAAAAAAGTTGAAATATAAATAAAGTGCTGACTGTAATGCCACTTTCTTGGCAAAATGTATCTGATATAGAGAAAACTAAATCAGCCTAGAGCACAGGACTTAGATGTTTTCTTTATCCTAGAAGATCAATGTGATAGTTGAATTACTAGATATTAATATCAGATATCTCTCAACTTGATTATTATTCCTGTTTTTTCTAATCAATATCCTTCTTCTGCTTTATTCACAATTTCTTGGAACATAAATATAAAGATAAACTAAATTCGATCAATAACCAGTAACAAGATAACTGACTCAAAATATATCTCCGCAAACCCATCTACATATCTACATTGAAATCTAATCTGCATTAAAAAAAAATCTGACAAAATCTATTGACATTGTAGTATAAGAATTACAGGCGATTATAAAACTATAATATATACCATTCCATTCGGCAATCCATAAATTATAAGCTTAAATTTATACATAAAACAAGTCAAAAACTTATTATATTAATTTTTAATCCTCAATCCATAAGTCAAAATACATAAACTCACATGATGTACGAGTTACCTCTACACATGAAATGGATCTAAAAACTATGATGAATCAAAAAAGATGTATCAAGCCACTCCTAAATCCATAAGTCAAAATCCACAAGCAGACAAAATCACTGAGGTACCTCTCCTCGTGAAATAGGTAAACAAATATTCTGGCTCAAAAATGATGTAGTCAAATACACAAGCAATCAAAATCACTGATCACTTAAAGTGTATTGAACCAAGTGATTTTGAATTATAAACCATTTTTTCTCTTTTTATCGAATTGGCAAACTTCTACACATATATAGATGACTAAGTATAATAGTCCACTTTATTTTATGTATCCATCAATAACTTCTGACAGGTTTGGTGTGAGATTGTTTTAGAACATTTGTCCAGTAGAGATATTTGCATCAAGGGGAGACCTTTTATCAAGTGTGAAATATGTCTACAATGTTCCATGTAAGAATTTGTGACTAGGATTATGTGTAGTTTTATTCAAAAGTACTTAAAGATTCAAGGAACAGTACGCAAAATTTTCACTATCAAAAACAAGGTAAATTATATATGAAAATATTTCTAAAGTATGCTATTTATATCTATGTATCTTCTTCATCAAACTGAATTTGTTTTAAAAGGGTTAATTAAAAACAGTGAGTATTAATTAAGCAGTATGGCCTAACAGCTTCCAGAAAAGCAAATTTTTCAACCTACAAAAAAGTGGCATGCCCCTTTAACCAATATAGACCAACTATTATTAAGATTAAGGTATGAATGGATTATCTAAATAAAGGATAGTCAATAGAAATAGTTTGGAATGTAATAAATATATCTTAATCTTAATCTAACCTTGGTCATACTATTATAGATATTATGTAGTATTTACAGCTTTGCACTTCTACCAAGTCATTTATTTGCCCCAATGTTGGATTTCAAGCAATTCTGTTAGAAGACGCAGAGCCACAGCCCCGAAAGCAAGTTTTTCGGGCAAAAATCTCAAAACAAGGTTAGACATTCAGTCAATCTGAGATATTTTGCCCCCAACTCGGACGTAAACGTGGCTCAGCAACTGTCTGTTAGAACAGTTGTTACACACTTCTATTACCATTTACCAAACTATAGTGAGGAACCATAAACTTCAACCCTGTATTCATCTATTATTCCGCGCAGTTGAAAAGAGTAAAAGGCCACTGTCCTCATTGCCCACTGCATGGCAAACCTAGACCCTGTATTCTACAGGATGCCTTTATTTAATATTTCTCAGAAAAGAGTAGGCTGATAATTGATCATCATTATTAATCTAAACAGGTAAAAGTAACATATATAGAATCAAAATGTTCATTCCAGTGGGTCCTACCATATTCATTATACAGCAGCAAAATACAGGCAATACAGGCAATACAGTAACATGCCTTGAAAATGATCTGATTCAGCAGATATGTGTCATTTGACTTTTCAGTGCTAAAATACTAATATCATCATCATCTTCTTAAATCATATTTTTAAAAATTTCAGACAACAAGAATATGAGGAAATTATCCATGTAGCTGTAAACTAAAGTATTTGGAAGGGTTATCATTATTGTAATAACAGAAAATCCCAATCAATTTGAATTGAAATGGAATGAATAAATGCAATTCTTATTAGAAATGACATGACCTTACCCTAGAAATCTAAGAAAACATCAGGCTATTCCAATACCACATCAAACTACAAAGTAATTCCAATATCAGATAATGTGAAATCCTATATTATAATCCTTATTACAACTATCACAGACTTCAGAATACTGGCACTAAAAAGTCTGTTATTCTATATACTGTGTATCAATTTCTAAACGGACACTGCCAGTTTTCATGTGAATCATCCATTTACCATTACTGTAATTATACTAGGTTCCAATATTGGCACCAAGTCAATAGACAGAATTCAAGACTTGTTTATCTTCTACAGTACACTCTAACATAGCCGTCCCACTCCTTTACATTCTCTCACACACTGACTGCCTGCTATCATATACCTTATCTTATAGCTGTCTAAATCTTCTTCACATATATATTGCCTACAGAGATTACAGTCTGCAATGAATGAATGAGGTAAAGGCACGGAATGAATAAAAAGTTTATCATTTTTACCTTATGATATAGAAATCTAAATATTTAGTTATTAAATTCGATATCAAAATATTTTTACTGTTAAAATAGTGCTCAATATCAAATTGTAGAACGATATAGAAATATCAAAACAGAACCTTAAACATGTTGTTTCGTGCTCTGCGATCTTCAGACAACTGACTTATTTCAGCCTACATAGCTATTGAAGTTTGACAAGTAGTATTTGTTTTCATGTCTGCACTTCAAAACAATTTAAGAATCCAAAGATTGAGTGTCAATTCAAACGAACAGTTCTAAAAGAGATTTAGTCTACAAGGGATTACAAGCAGTAGGCGGAAAGCTTCTACAATTCACAATATACCACAATTTCTTCATTGACTGACATTAAGCTTTTAAATAATTTCACTCTGACTTCCCAAGAGAGAGATTAAATAACTCAATCTTTTATCACTTTTCAATTAATTCTCAAGAATTCTGTATCATATTGCAACTATGTTGGATACAGAATCAATTACTATGTAAAATATTCTAAACGCTATCAATCTAT